CGAAAAGATGTTCATGCCAAATGCGAATTCTATCTCTTTCAGTCCAGATTCCTTAAAGAATATTTTCCCTGGGTTTTCTCCAACAATGTTTTCTGTTCATACTGGTTTTCCAAAGCTTCAGATTGTATTTTGTACAGTATTATTTAGATTTTTTCCTCATTCAATTTTCCAACCAAACACTGTGCAAACAAGAGGCTTAACTGAAGAGCCCCTGGGACCCTGCAGAGCAAATTGGACATACATATTAGGTTATTGCATTAGTAGATTATGACCTTTTCCCTCCTCCACTTAGATTTCTTTAATCAAATTAACCTGTCAAACACAATAAATAATAATAATATATTTGTTGCTGCTTAAGGCTGTAGGGCAATCAAAACATACCCACAAGGGCTGAGCCCATCTGTTATTCAAGAGTGGTTACATTTATTTTGAGCAAAATAGAGTATGAACAACTAGGGTTTTCATTAGGTCACCTGAAAAACTGGAGAATTATTTCAGTGGAAGGGGCATCAGCAGCTCATCTCCTGTTCAGTTCTCTCCTGTATTTTATGCAGTGGAGATATTTTCCCCAAAGCATCTCTGAAACATGAGTGGCAACAAAAGTTTGTGGGAGTTGTGATCATGATTATGTAGCCACTCTGGATAATTCTTTCTATTATATAATATTAGCTATAGTAGAAGTGACAAATCAGCATGTATTGATCTCTAAAAACTATTTTTCTGGAAACATTGTTTTAGGGGAAAGGCAGGAAGGTCCCGAGAAAGATTAGCAAGCCTCTAACATATACATATGATTAGATCATGAGGATAATAAATACACTGTATGTTATATAGTCTATGAGACAATAATCATACTTCTATTTTAATGAGAATACTACTCAATGAAGAAGTTGCTTGTGGGGAACAATCCAGCCTGCTGTCAGGTGGCTAAATCTGATGACAGTCTACATTGGTTTGGGGAGGATTTTTTAATCTGCTATTCAGCATTATTAGTCCAAATGGAAAAATTTGAACCCATCTCTTGCCACTAATCCTCCCGTATTAATCTCCCGAATTATAAGAATAAATAAAACATTAATGAGAAAAAAATAAAGATAACTTATTTGTTGTCTTAGCCTATCTTGTAGGAAGAGTACAGTCCTTGGACTGTTGTTTTTATAACACTGGCAATGCTTATATACTGCAGTGCTGGGTGTACTTAGTGATTACAAAGAGATAATTTAATCAGCTGCTGAAGAACTGAATGTATTTCCTTGCTTCAATTCTGTTGGTCTATCCTCATATAAACCTATTTTCATGTCCTCTGATATTTCTCCTCCATAGAGATTCTAATTAAAAAATTAGTCTAGAAAGTGTTAACTTTCATCTTGTTATCTTTTTGTCTGTTGATAATTATGTAGGTTTTTAGGTTTCTTGATCTGATCCTGTAAGTGAATAAGAATAGAATGACCTTGCTTTCTTTCTGATAACCTTTTAGGAAAGCACCTGTTTTCCTACTGATTTTTTTTTCATCGACGTCACACCTACTGGAGTTTGGATCTTTCTTCTTTTTAGTAATTATTCTTCTATGGATTCTACTTTTTAGTTTTCAACGTTCTTGTCATCCTTCTGTGGCTAATTCTTCTAATTAGACCCAACTTTTTCTCACTTAAACGAGATTGCACAAAGAGAAAAAGAACTTGTGACATCAAACAAAAGGTGCTACATAATCCTCCTAACTCCTACGCTAACTGCCGTCCTCTATTATTAGGACCATTTTAGGAAAACTTTGCTGAGAGCCTTTGAATTTATATTTTGTCCACTTGCAAGTATGATCTCTTTCCTCACTAAGTTTGTACTGTGTGTCTGGGAAACCAGCAAAGAAGAGGAGAGACTTAACTAATGTAGTAGTATATAACCTTCTGCAAGTAAAATAACTGCGTTTTTTGGTCCGTTTTTGTCCTTTATTAATTGTACAAAGGATGCTCTGTATAAATCAGCATTTCTGAAGATCATCCCCACAAGAGACCTGCTTGCTTTTTTAAGAAATTTAGAGGAATGTCAGAGAAAAGATTAGATTTCCTCTGTGGGAGGTAGTTTGCATACTAATGCATCTTGCTCTTTCTTTGTGGTTTGTTTGTTTTATCATTTGCCATCTTCAGGACGGAGACTTACACACAAGTTTTTAAGAGACTAGACAAATTGGCAGCAAGGGCTCTAAGTCTCAAATTTTCTATGCTACAGCCCCGTTTTCTAATGCAAGAGAGCAATTGCAGCTTCTGCATCGTTCTTGTACCTGCCCTGTGCCCCACAGGACAGTGGTGCCTCTGCCAGCCCTTGCAGTTATACAGTTGGGTATGCAAATCCATGACATAACTCTCTGCGGTCTCCATCCGTAATCTGGTATGTGGTTTTGAGCAAGTTACTACAACCATTCTGTAGCTGTTTGTGCTCTTGTCCATTGACTGTTTTGTCTATTCAGGGATGAACAGATATATTCATGATAAGCTACATGTCATCAGACTTCATCCAGAGGGGAGCAATCCATGGATCACAGTCACTGTGTTATGTTACTTAAACTAATAGTTTTTCTCGCTTGCATTAAAATCTCTTTTACTTAAATGAATTGGCCTGGCTCACAGGAAAGAGTACAGAAATTTCCTCAATATATCAAATTACTGTCATTTTCTCTAGTATTGGAGCCCTATACTTGCATGGCCAGACACTTCAGGATGATGAGAACACCCACTGAAGCACTTTGCTAGCTGAGTGTGAGAAAGAGGTTATCATTATCTCCTGACTGAGAAGCTCACTCTTCACATCATGAGGTTTACTCATGCTTATCTTTGAGAGCTTTAATACAAAGGTAGGTTCAGCCTTTCAAATCTGGGAACTTGGCTGACTTTTCAGAGACCATTTATATGCATTCAATTAAGGAAGTGATTCATTTAATACACCAACAATCTGATGACTATAATGCTTATAAGAGTTTTCTTGTATTGCAAATATGAGGATGTGGAGATGAGATATTAAGAGCCTTGACAAAGCTGACTCCCCCTTTTTGACAGTCTTGAGGAGAATGTTTGGTTTGGGTGTGTGGCCTTTAGAGAGAAAACAGAATTAAGTTTGTTTCCACTGTATATAAAGATAGGAACTGTATGATTATTATTTTTTAGACACTGATTCTCTGCTACTGTTTCAAAACTTGGTGTCTTGTTGATGTGGCCACACTAGGAGGTGTGGGCAGGAGACTGTGGTGTTTCTTGAGCCTCAGATCTTTTTCACAGAGGTTTGGATGAGAACATAACGCATGTTATAGTAGAGAAGCTCCTGTCTAATGTTTTCTTTGCTTGACTTCTGTAGAATGATGCAGAAATGGAATTAATGAAAGCCAAACTTTCTGTTAGTTGCAAGGACCCATAGGAATCTGTGTCAATCTTTGTAAAGAAGTGCCATCTACAGCCTATCTTAGGCAAACTCTTTCCTGATAATTAAGGTTAGTAAATAAGTCTTTTATTTTCCTCTGAAATACACAGCAGGGAAGGTTGCAGCTAATGGGAATTTTGGATGCTCAGCAGCTTCCAGGGTTAATTTTTTCTCTGTTGGATTTAAAGCTAACACTTCACAGTCCTGTAGGACAAACTGAAGAATGTGTTTTGGGAGAGATGCCTAAACTATCAGAAGACAGGACTGTTTTTAAGAGTATAGGTGCTCAAACAATAGTGAGATTTTTCTTTTATTCTTATAAGTAACCACACTTTATTATAGCTTCTTAGACTTTGATGCTTTTTATAACCCACAATTACCAAAGGGTAGTTTACCTGAGAAAAATTAATTGCCAACAAACAGAGCTCCATACCTCAATTTCAGCTCCTGAGGGAATAACGACTACAAGATCAGTCAAGTCTGCTGTGCTTTCTATGTACTGTCCTGCTTCTTCTGCTCAGTGGAACTTCAGGGTAACATTTTTACTCCCAAAACGCAGCCTGGTCAGCTGTAAATGAATAATGATTCCTGAATACTGAGCAGGAAATAGGACTTGTGGATATCCTCAGAGCCCAGAAGTGTGCCTGGCACCTGTGTCTCTTGTTCTAAATATCTGGGATTTTTCTGACCTGTTCTAGCCCAAACAGAGGATCACAGGCATTGTTTGGGGAAGCTTCCTTGTTAAGAGCTGTGAAGATCTGTCTACAGTCAGTGTGTTCCACATCTTTGTGACCAGTTATTTTGGTTAGTTTAATTCTGAAGTCAGAGGAACAAATAAAGGGAGATCAAGACCCAAGCTCTGATGAACTTTGAACTTACCTGGATGTGAAGCTGATTAGTTACAATAGAGAGAACCAACACCACGGTCTGAACACCCTGAAATTCAGCACAGTAAAGCTTCTGGATCTAAGTCTTGTGGTTCACATCCATCTGTACCTGTGTCCATGTGTGAGATGTAAGCAGCTTCAACTTGTCTCCTTCCCAGAAACACAGGGCTGTTTGTCCGTTGAGTAACGCTGCTGAGTTGAGAGATGACACAGAGGCTGTCCCAGCTCCTTGGACCCCTGGGTTTTCCCCAGGTGTCAGGTCACTCCTCCTCACAGATAATTACTTACCATCATCATCTAAAAGAACTACAACTTCCATGACTAGATTTACAGGTACAACCACTTAAAAAAAAAAAAAAAGTATTCACACACAGTGAGGTAAATATGCAGGTTTATTGCAGCCAAGCCACTCCTTTCCGTGCTCATTCCTTCTCAGACATCTGCTCATGGATGTTAAAACCCCGAGCACCTTTGGCAGCAGGACTGAACTCTGAAATCTGCAGCACCTGTAACAGAGGAGCAATATTTGAGAAAGAATTGTTGTCCAAGGAAAAGCAGCAGCTTCAACTTGTGTCCCACGGGAGACAAGTGAATCTGAAGTTATTTATTATATAAGACGTAGGGGATGACAGCAGTTTATCATTAACCTGAACTCTGCAAGAAGCACATAAGGAGAGAAAGAAGAAGAAAGCCAGAGAAGCAACCAGGATGGAATCCAACATAAGGATCAACAATCCTGCAGACATCTCTGTTATTGTCATCTATTTTTTGGTAGTCCTGGCAGTGGGACTATGGGTAGGTTGGGATATTTTATTTTATTTTATTTTATTTTATTTTATTTTATTTTATTTTATTTTATTTTATTTTATTTTATTTTATTTTATTTTATTTTATTTTATTTTATAAAAAATTATTTTTTTATGTTATTATTTTATTTTACTTAATAAGCAGGTAGTTTAATAGGGTCTTCGGAAAATGGCTTAGTAAATGAAAATGTATAATTGTATGTAATGTAAACGTAATTTTGGTGCTTAATTGAGATAGTTAATAAGTGCATGGTGGGGAAAATGTGGCTATTTATTGGAAAGGGGATGGTGACCCGGGGAGGCATCTGTTTAGGTGGATGAAATGGCACCAGTGGGGAAGGTGGAGTAATGGGGTTTGTGTGGGAGAGATCTGGTCAGCAAGACGAGGCCAGGCAGGGCCCCTGCGAGGAGGCGGGCTGGAGGCGAGCAGGGTTTGGCACTGCCGGGCACAGGGACTGCGGTGACAGTTGGCGGCATGAGGTGATGCCTGAGGAGGGACCGAGAAGAGGGAGTTGCAGGGAGGAGAAGGGAGGTGAAGTCAACATGCGGGAGGGCAGCACGGGGGTGTAGCAGTACAGGTGCAGCCGTGGCTGTGACAGCCCAGGGACGGAGATCCCTGTCAGTGAGGGCTGAGATGGGCCGACACTGCAGGTGCCATTTGAGGGCAGCATTATCGGGGCTTTGTTTGCCAGCAGGACCTTGAGTAGAGGGTGCAGTGCCACTGAGAGTATGAGGAAGGAAGGGTTTCAGGGGTGGCAAGTGCTGGCAATGACTTTGTGTTGGCGACCTGGGCAGAGCGGTGCGTCCTGCCCTCACGCGGTGCTGCCCGTGCCGAGGGTGCCAGGGAGAGCTCAGTGCCCGAGCCCAGCACAGCAGTGGAGAAAGGCGGATACCGGCCTGCTGGGGTAACCTCCCTGCTCAAGTGGCTGAAGATAATAGGTCAATGCTGTGAGCTACAAAGCTGTAAACAGTGGAATGTCACCAAATTTCTGTTTCCCGGGGGCAAGCTCTCCCGGTCACCCGAAGACCTGACCATTAAGGAGCGGAGAGGAGACGCTGTCCCTCAGTAATCCTCTCCTTGCCAGCAGCATCCCAGCTCAGGTGCAAAACAAACCTCCCTTTCTAGCAGCCTGGCAATGTTCTGAAGAGCACCAAACTTCAGGTTGTATACAAAACGGACACAACCTTCTCTTTAGCTCTTCACCATGGTAGGAGACACCAAAAACATAGCAAAAAATCTGAAGCCCCGAGTATACCTGAACACCTTGCTGCCTTGCGGGAGGGAGCCACGCAAGTCTGGCTGTAGTTGAACTTTGTATTAAAGGTCTGTGACAAAAAAGGGCTGATCCGTGGTTTGTCAGGCAATTCTGTGCTGAATAATTCCTGGAACCTTTCTTTCCTGCAACAATGTCTCTTTATTAGACAAATATCTATTCGGTTGCTGTGTGTAGTTAAATGCAAATCTACTGTATTTACTTCCTTTCTTCTGCATTAGAAAAAAAAAATCTGGCTAAATTTACCAAGTCTTTCTTTATTTGCCTGTTCAAAGTCCATCAAAGGAGACAATGGGAATCCAACACTTGGGTCAGGGTCATTAACAAAAATTGGAGGAAGCTTCCCTCTATAGCTCATCCCTTGACAAATACAAAATGAGTGTGTGAAAAGGAAATTTTAGTTGGCTTCTTAGTTTGAACTTCAGAGAGAAGTGGGTACAATGCTGATATCACAACAAGAAAACAGATTTTTGCAAGTATCTGCTGGGGCTCAGTAGGGTTGAGTAAAAAAAGCTGCACACTTTCTGTTAATGAATTTGTAACTTACAGTGTTTTCTGATACCTGAAATCAAAGGCATTGCACCCTGATGAAGTGTTCATGTGAGATTTTATTTGAGTGATCATTTTTTGGTTAAATTTAATTTTATTTTAACATTTTGCAGTGTAATGAAAGGTGAAGCAATGAAGCTTGAATGGTTAATATGGACCTAGAAACAAGAACTGTTGTTCAGTTGTATTATTTTCGTCATCATAAGCTTGCTCTTTTAGTCACTCTGCTTATTTCTTGCACTTTACCCTCCCCATATATTTTATCCTTTCATTCTAGTAGTTTGTTCTTAGTCTGTGTATAGCTTGCCCATTATACTTAAAATATGATTCAATTTTATTTTTTTTTTTTTTTTTCCCCAGGCTATGTATTCAACCAACCGAGGGACAGTAGGTGGATTTTTCCTGGCTGGACGAAGCATGGTTTGGTGGCCGGTGAGTGCTATATATTGTGTGTGTATATAAAACATATGTACGTGTATGTGCATCCACTTCCATATGACCATGTCTACTCCTTAAATATTAGATGTCTCTACAATATTGTTGAGACTGTGATGGTTATGTCATGTAAATTCACTCTTTCTCTAGCCATGGTGACACAGGGCAAACTGCACAACAAAAGCCATCAAAGGCTTTGCCTTTCAGTCTGCTTTAAAACTTTTTAATATTTTGAATTTATTACTTTAATTGCACTCGAAGCTGGCTCATTTTGAGGTTATTGCAGAGAAGAATTAATTTCCTGACATTTTTCCTCATATTTCACTATTGTTTCCACTTTTGGTTACAAGTTCTGGACTGTACAAGGAGAAAATCCTGGAAATATTATGATAAGTTATTAGTAAAACATAGTTTGCATTTATTTAAAGATTATCTGTGATTTACATTGTTTGCCTTCTGTGGATCTGTATTCTCTTCCAAGGTGGAGAAAGGGAGTCACAGACACAAAACATGTTCATAGCCATCCATCAGGAGTCTGGCAGAAATAATATTAGAAACAATTATTTATTTCTTCCAGACCATATTGTCTGTTTAATGTGACTTCTTGGAAAAGCAGAAAACTTAGACAAACCTGAATTTTCTGTATTACTTGTGTTGTACATGCTTCCATGTGCTTGAATGGAAATCCTCAACATTCTGGATATTGCATTCAGTCTCCAAAAATGTTTTTGCACTTCATAAACACTTTTGATTCAAGATTCCATCCACATGTATTCAGTTACAGGATCAGGGAGAGTGACGGCAAATACTTCTTGTTTAAAACTTTAGGAATTTTCTCAAAGTAGGCTGCAGAAATACCAATACATCGTTCAGTCTTGTGCTTCAGGAAGCTGCTCTCTGCCTTTAGAAGGGATTAGGACTGCCTCCTTAATGACATAACAAGATTAAAGGCCAGTGGGAGTAAAAGATTTCCTCATTTGGTATAGTTGATGTAAGAAAATTCAGGTTCCATTGGAAGATTGAGGAAAGAGAAAGTTTCCATGTTATTTTAAGACAAATTACATAATTCTAAGGGGGAGAGAAAAAACTCAAACAGATTACTCTGCTTAACTGTTACTTTAATCAGTGGGCTGGTTTTAACCTTGTGCAATTCTGTCAAGGGTGAATATGAATACTCTTTTGTGCAGATGTAAATGAAGGTGGAAGAAGCAAGACAGGAAAGACTCACCATAAAAACCTTCTGTCTTGCTGCAGTGGCACCGAGATTTTATGATTCCCCTAAGATCGAGGGAAGATTATCTTGTTGAGTTCTCTACCAACACAAACCCAACAGATTCAGCAAGCTCCCTTCCTCCAGTGGGGAGAAAAAAGGGATGACCCCACAATGCAGTGGTGCTTGCTAGGATCATCTCTCTCTCCTCCCCAAACTCTGCAGGCTCAGCATGGATAAGTCCTAGTCATCAGTGGAGTCCCAGAGCACCCCTTCGATCCTTCCCTTTGGAATGCCAGGAGTGTCTTTCTGCACCATAAAAATAAACCCTTCTTGCTATTCTTCCTGGTATCACTCAGAATAAACAAACAGCAAGCACTCAAACCACAAACTAAATACCATGTCAGCAGCACCACCTTGGAAAGTTTGCCTTGGATAAAAAGAGATTCCAAAACACCTATTCCCACAGTTTAGCAGTAAATAGGATGTCCATCACCCAGTGCAAACTGGGCTGAAATGACTAGGAAACCAATGAAAGTATAGAAAGTTCCGTCAAAGATGTGATCTCAGTTCTGCGACAGCTAATGTTGTGTGTGTGTTTGGACTACTTCTGTGCTTTGACTTCTCTTTTGTGCTGTGTCAGGACCATGTCATGGTTCTGGAAAGCCCAGATACATTTGCAAAGACTGTAGGCTGGGTGGGGGAAGCTGTTTTGTAAGTGGACTCTTATTTATCAGATTTCTTCCTTGCAATTTCAGGAGAATTGCTTTCTGGAATAGAGAAAAAAATTTTAAAAAACTCCTTCCACAGTCTTGTCATAAACTTAATTCTCTTAATCTAATTCTATTTTTCAGTGGTTGTGCTATGTTCTATGCTCTACAGGGCAGCCATGGCTTTTCTGACCCCACAGGGAAAGAGGCTCAATAGCAGTGTATTAGGACCTCTTACTGACAAGCCTGGGAAAGCGATAAGGGATTCTATTCACTTAAATGATATAATAGCTGTGGTTTAGTAGCCTAGAGGAGACTGGCAATCAAGGGCTGGAGATTAGTCCCACTTTTGATACAGATTTTTCATGTTTGTCAGTCAGTTTGCTTGGTAGTGATTCCATTTCTCAACGTATAAAGTGGGAGCAAGACAGTTATCTTGGGCCAAATCTGTCCAGTTTTGGCTCTGACTGTCGGCTCCAGCATAATCCATGGAGGTTGCTTAGTATTTTGCAGAACGAAGAACATAGTTAGTCTTTTCAGGCTGTTCTGCAGAGGTAATAGGTCACTTCTGTGTTAGTTCACTGAAATCACTGCCCTTGTGCAGTGGATGAGCCAACTCAGTAGTTCCCGTAGTTAATTAGGGATCAAGGTATATAATTACATTCTCACTGATTGCCATAAATTGAAATTGGTATGAAATACTGTGATCTTTCCACAGTCTTTTTACAGAGACTGAAAGCAGAATCTCAATAAACTGGTTCTAGTCTCTTTGGCTTTGAGGGAAATATCTTCAAGAAATACATATACGGCTTTTAAAATATTCATAACTAGCTCAAAAAAAGACACAGAGAAGCTCAAGGAAAGTGACAGCTTTGTAACAGCGGGCCTTGCAAACCAAACTTCAGCTGCTTTTGTTAGATGAAGGAGTTAGGTTCAGCCAAATACTTTCTACCATTGTAGGAAATGAGGTACCTGTTCCTGAAGAACATCAACTTTGGTAGCAGACACTCTCACAGGATTAACAGGTTTCGTGCATAATTTCTAAAAAAAACCACTTAAGTTTTGAAGTTGTCCTGCTTTTGAATTTTGTTCTTCAGGTTCTGTAGTTCTGCAGACAGAGCTGTCTGCACAAAATGATGGGTTACCTTGCACACCTCATCAGTTCCTGAGGCTCAGATGCTAATGGCACCAAGAGTATCTGCTGGGCATCTGAAGTCCATCTGTGGTTAGAAAGATTTATTGAAGAGTAATCAGGAAGCATGCAGAGTCAAGGACATGCTACACTTTACCCAGAAACATAACTCAGCTCGTTTGTTGTCACATATGTGTTGATCTTTGTGAGACAGGTTAAGAAATAAGGAAAAAACTAAACCAGGTTTTTGCTTCTTCTGCATGGCTTATTTTCATGGCTATCAGGACAGACACTGATATAATTTCTCTGGTCTCTGCATCCAGTTAAGTTTTACATATTCTCAGAATTCTCCCCACTTGCTGAACCTGACACTGCTGTGAGGAGACAGGAAAGACAACTCTGGTATAAATACGATTTGTATTTCCTTCTCTTTAGTAGAATAAGAAATTAACTGATTTTGTCAAATTCCATGCTAAAAATAGTGTGGAATCAATAGTTTTCAGATTAAAACAATAATAAAGTAATCAAAGCATGGTTCTGGTAGAAAAGGAAATGTTCAGTGAAACAGATTTCTACAGAATCCGTCAGAATTTTCCACCCATCTGGGAGGTGTTGTTTCTGTCTCAGAGGACAAAGGTGGACGGAGTATAGATCAGCTGCTTGTGACTGCTGTTCCAACAGCCGTTGAGCTTGTTGGAAGACAGAGACACAATATTTGATGTGTCTTGTGTATCCACCTCACTTGCTTAGTGGATTGGGAAGGGTGTAAATGCAGTTTGACTATGATGCAGTATATGGAGTTTGCAGAGTAATTGGGAAAGCAGAATAAACCCCCACACTTCTTTCTTTGGGTGTCAGAGCCTTGAAAGGGTCGCAGTTATATTTCATTGTAAGCACTTTGGGAAAGCGATTAAGGGTGATCCCAGAAAGCTCAGGTAGGAGAAATCATCCTTCCATCAGGGTAAAGTCACGTGTTGCAGGGAAGAGTTGTGAGTTAAAGAGAAGCATGGACAGTGTCAAGGGGTAATTCTCAAGCAAAGAATGGGGTGCCCCATGGGAGGAGTGATACCTCAGGGCAAGGCTCATGACCTCATGCTGACGTGAGGGAGGTTCTGCTGTTCTCTGTGAGGGGTTAACGGCCACAGGCAAGGGGTGCTCGGGGCTGGGGAAGAGAGTTTGATAACGGGCTAACACTTTCAAACAGGAAAGCGAACATGAGCAGCATAGGATATGTATTAACAGGTCCTGTGAGGGAGAAGTGCCATAAGCTGTGAAGTCCGCACATGTCTCTGCGGTGGTCACTCATTTGCAAAGTACATCGTATATGATTTGGAACAGCAAGTGCCAGGATGTCAGCGCATCCTCAAGTTAATGAAAGGAGCAAGGTGAAGCGGTTAATGAATAACATGGAAAAAACATAGTGATCATCATCTGTCTTCTGTGTGGTGGTACTTTTCCTGAACAGAGTACTCTTGTTAAAACATGACCTCTTGAAAGATTTTAAAACAGTTAATGTTCCACGTCTGCCTCAGGTTAGTGCAGTTTTTTGTCCTCTCTTTCCCTCTTAAAAGCTTTTGTTCCTTTCTATCAACTTTCTTCTTTACTTTCCTCCTAGATCTGTGTTTAAAATCAATTCGCTAACACATTCACTGAGAACAGTTAACACTTCCAGAAAAGTGTTTCCCTCTGTCATGGTTCAGTTTCAGGCCAGCATTCTTTCCATCCTGCATAGGTGTACTGCAGCATCTACCAATGGTGAATCAAGCAATTCCAATAATCAGACTTTTAGTACAAAAACCCCACAGCAGTAAGTTCTTCAGCAAGACAGCTTGGGCCCAGAGCCCATCTGCCCTCTTCCCTCATCCTTAAAGTGGATTGGAAATGTCTTTCCCCTCTGACAGCAGCAGCTAGCAGGGTGCAAGCAGATTTGATAAACACTCCTCTTGCTTTAACCACACTGCAGTTTTAAGGGTAATACGGATTTTCCCATATATGAAGCCATGATATACCTTTCCATGTATACATAACAGTTAAAAACATTTTTTAAATTTCATCCATTGTTAGCATGTGTTGACCTTGCTGTTCTGCTGCACTGGGTGTTCCCTAATTCAGAGAAGAAAAACTAGAAAGTGAATGTGGTATCTGCATTCACATTGTTTTGTCCTTGTGCTGGCCCTAAAGACGGTGCTAATTTAGCTTTGGTTTGATTTGGTTTTGTATTTTTCTTTCAATACAACCGTACTCCATGTAAAGCTGGAAATGCAGCATTGTCAATGGAAGCTACAGTAAGTCCGGGGGTTTCGGGCACCGAGCCAAAGCTTACTACAGCTGGCAGTTCTTAAGGTTCTTCATTAGCTGCTTTTGTTACTTGGATCTGCTTGCAGTGCATTTTAAGCTTTTGAAACGGGAGAGGGAACACATGAAATAAAATCAGAGATTAATGTGGTTAATCTTTTCTGGTGACTGCGTTTCTAGTAACCTAGATTTAAGTTTAATTATTCATCTTCAGGGAAAGCACTGGACAACAGTGCTAATGCTTGGTATAAATGGTATTTGTTTGTTCAGGATCATTGCTGGGAAAACACTGTTGCTGTCACAAACAGGTTAGAAGAAGAAGTTTTCTTTATTACCAGTGATCTCTCTGGCTTATTTGCTAATGCTTGTTGCAACACTTATCATTCCTGTAGAAATATCTGTCCTATGACAAACTGGTTACATTTCTGTAGGGCACAAACCGACTCCTACAAATGTGTAAAAAAAAAAATCCAGAACTGAGTGAACTTAGTGACATAAATTTCCTGTCACAGCAAAAGAACAGTTTGTCTGCAAAAAGACTAGAAAAAATCAGCAGATCAGTCTGAGGAAAGGAGAAAAAAAATGTAAGCTTGGAATAGAAAGAGTGGAATTGTCTGGTAAATTTTATTTGTATGTTGCATATAAAAAATGGGGGGTGGGGGGGAAATGTCTTTTGTTATGGGAGATCAGGACTGTGAGTTGAAGTGCACGGTTGCTATTCCCGGCTATGGCATAGCTCTACAAAATAAATCTGATCTTCAGCAGTGGATTTCTATGGCGAGATTCATTTTATCCTCACGGATCTCAGGCAATTGTCCCCGTGCTCTTATGGACTTGATTTTTACTGCTACTCAGAGAACTCACTGCAATGACTGCAGACCTGGAAATTTGTAACTCCTCCCTTTATGTACATTTTAGGACCTTAAAAATCTCCCAGTGAGTTGCAGACAAGAAATATTTCTCCCTTTTGTAAGGTGACTCTGAACATATTCCAACCACCTGTACTATGTAAGGACAATGTGCAGGTCCCGTGTTCATGTATCTAAAAAACACTTTTAAGCACCTTGGTATTGTTCATCATGAGAGGTTCACTTCAGATGAGAGCATTAGAACCTGGCCAGCAGAGGTTCTTTTGCCTACTTTCCATATTCTTTTATTTTCAACCCTGTTTCCTTTTTTGATTTGTAGCTTCAGAGGACATAAAGAAAACAATAGAAGTGAATAAAACAAATGTTCATCTCGGAACGACTGCAGCTCACATGTCTTCTGCCTACAATACCTGATCCAACCTCTTTTCCGTGCTTGAGTTCTCACACTACATCCCTCAATGCCTGACCTTGTAAATTATTGTTAGGTATTTCTGCTGCCTTTAATGGTTTCATTTTAAGGGAATGAAGCTCATACCTTTTAATCTTTTCAATTGTTTGAGCTATTTGAAAAGTAATTTGATCTTTTGGCACAATCTGTCTTTTGTGAACGGCTCCTGCCTGTCTGTAATCTGGTGTACTTTCATTTTTAAAAATCTCTCCCTGTTCATCAGTTCTGTGTTCTCCCCATGTTCTGTCTGTATGATCAGTGCAATATTTGGGGGACTTTGAGATCCAGCACTTCTTAAATATAACTCCTTGATTTGCTATTGTTTGTATCTTCCACTTGCACTTTCTCAGCAGATGTTTCTGCCATGCAGCTTTCAGACTTTAATTCGGTAATTGAGTATCTTTTAACTAAAAGTGAACCAAGTGCAAAGTCTGTACAACTCTCACTAATGATACATTATTCCACAGACTGTGGAATATGAAATAGGGAGTTTGATAAGTGGGTATGCACTTATCGTTTCCTCCTTGAGCAAGACAGATTGTGGTCTTCTTCCCTGATTGGATGTCATTCAAATGTCAGTTAGTCAAGTTTTGCAAATATTTTAATATCTATATTGGTGTAATAAACTGTTTGACTCAACTAGAAGAAGATCTTCTATGCAACATCCTATTCTTATTGTTGTAGATGTGATGGCTCGATTATCAGGTTTGAGGGGGAACAATAAGAGGGAATCTTGAAAGTTGTCCAGGAAGTCGGTTGTCAATCATTCTCATCATCACTATCTGATGATATATAGGCATGAGTTCAAAATTCCAAGTAAACATGATTTTTTTCACGTTACCAGGAAAGGACCTAGGAGCCAAATACTGTTCTTTCTGTTTCCAGATTGGTGCTTCTCTGTTTGCCAGTAACATTGGCAGTGGACATTTTGTGGGAATAGCAGGAACAGCAGCAGCTGGAGGAATTGCCATCGGAGGATATGAATGGAATGTAAGTGGCATGCATTTAAGTGAACCTATTTGTGACATCAGGATTATCTTCAGAGGTTAATCAAACTAACATTGCCTAATAATTTAGGACAGTCAAAGTTTGTGCTTGGCAACGCTTGTTTTCTGTACAGACCAGTAAGTGCCGATGGAATCTACTATTTAGCTCATCTTCCTTGGTCCTTGTCCAAACCACTGCGAGAAGATGAACCTTTTCTGTTGAATGAGGCTTTTCAGAGAGCTTTTAAACCGAATAAATTTGTGGATTCTCTTCTCTATACATATCTTTTGATTACTTTAAAAGTATTTATAAAGAGCACTTTCAGACTTCAGGATGTTGGGAAGCATTTATCAGTTTTGCAATCCATGGTATTTTGTACAGCATTGTGCTATGTAGAAATAGCTGAAGGGGCTTTGATTTCTTCAAAGGCATTAGAAAATTTTGGACATCCTTCAAAATAACCTGTATTCCAAAAATCTTTTCTTCTTTACTTTCTCTTTCCTCTAATTCTGTATGTGTTTTGCTTATGGCTGCAGTATAGGGTAGAGATATCCAAGCTGACTTTCAGTGAACTACTGGGGATACCAGGAGTGGTGTTAATTGCAACAGCACGGGGATTCATATGAGCTAATTCAGTCCACTTCCTTGTTTCCTTGTATTCTCAGGCTCTGTGGTGGGTGTGGATAATAATGCCCTTGTTCTGCTTAATTCACCTTCATGGAAGGGATTATACCATGACACAAAGGGAATTAACGAGCGTGCATAGGTCAATACTTTCCTTGCATATAATTCTGTGCAGTGAAAGAAGCAGACTACCCTGAGGGATTTGCCTTTTTTTTTTCCCTAGCAAGAAGATGGTTGCTGCAAATAGTCAAGTACCCATCTGATATAAATATTTAAAAAGAAGGATAAAGGCTAAAATGAACTCTACGAAATGTGCACAGATAATTTGTCACCTTTATTTGCTTACATTAGTCCTGCAACAAACCTGATTTCTCTTCTCTTTGTACCAAAAGTAAGCAAATCAAAAGAGAACAAGCATTGCTTGAAATGTCATGGTATTCCAAACTCTAGGGCCCATATCCTTCCTCAGCCACATCCACCTCTAACACCTAAATTCCTGGGAGAAGCAATGATGCATGTCTATATTTGAGCAGATGCGTTGCATAGTTTGTTACTTATGACATGATGGGACTGGTGTACAGGTTAATAGACGTGGTGAAAATATTGCTCTTGACTCCATAATCTGATTCTCCCCTTGAAAGAAATATTAAGTTTGACTGTTACTGTGCTTGTGTATCGCTATTATTCCACTGAAATTATTCCTAATTTGTATTAGTATAACAGCAGAAGCTGACCCAGTATTTCTTGTCCATTTTAGGGTTTTGATCTCGGGGCAGAACTTCAAAGCTAGAGTTACAAAAGCCCTCTAATCCCAGTGGACAGGGTTAATGCAGAGTTCAGCTCTGAGAGCAGGATTTTGTTCTATATTTGTTGATTTAAATATGTAAAACTCTGTATCAAATAGTATTTGCTAGCCATTTCAGTCAGAAAACTGAGACACTGCAATATAGTAAGATTTATAGCTCACAAAAAATACATGGCAACACAAAATATATTATGAAATGGTGATGTGGAAATACAAAATATTTTACTGAATGCATGTGGTACATCCTGTACAGTATGTGGGACTGTTGTAAAATATATGGCCATCTCCCAGAGACCCTGTGCAGAAGGTAGTAAATGATGAAAACAATAATGAAAAGAAGTGCTACTCTTCCCAGCACCTGGATTTGCCGATGTGACAACACACCATGGCAGGATGCCTGGATCTGAGCGGGAAAGTGTCCTGCATTAGTGCTCTGGGATCACGATGCTAGCAGATTGGTCTCAGGTAGCAGGCTTCACCTTCCTTAATGTACCCCAGAAGCAGTTGTCTTACGGGCTGGTTGCACTGTGACCATCGTTAAACCAGGCTCCCTGGGCCTGCTCTGGAGAGGGCTAGGGTAGTCTGGTGTGGCTAGTGGAGTGGTGCTTTGATACTAGAGGCCAATCCTGTGAGCAGAAATCGGCTGGTTTTCTATAAAATGTATTATTAACATGTGTGCTTCTCTGGGACATCTAGCATGAAATCCAGGCTGCATAATACCTGACAAATTTTTTGGTCAAGATGTCATTCCCAAATTTCCAACTGTAAATCGGCAGACAGAGCAGTTCCTTCCCACCACCCCTGCAGTACCCACATTTATGTGGTTTCAGCGGTCTCTAGCTGCTGTTGGGTCTGATAACTGGTCTTTGGGAGTGCTATTGAGAGAGAGAAGGCTCATTCAGCTGATCTTGTCTTGCCTGCAGGCTCTTATACTTGTGGTTGTTCTAGGATGGCTGTTTGTACCCATCTACGTCAAAGCTGGGGTAAGTCAAACCAGTACTTTATGCTTTTCTTTGCTGCTCATGTTTGTGGATCAGGTCTTGAATATTGCAAAGCCATTACGAATGGCACCTGATCTGAATGTGCCAGAATCGTGCTATGTTATGTCTGTGTGATTTTGAAGAGCGAGGATTCTCTGTTCTGAGACCTGAGCTGAGAAGTACTTGGCACTCTCTCCTCATTCTCCTTTGATTTCTGGAGCTGCTCTTCCCTGCAATTGCATTTGCAGCTCCTCTCCCTTGGCACTCCATTCTTACAGTATCAGAGTAGCAAAAAACCTTCCCCTAATTTGCTTTGTATCTATTCCCCATTATCTGAAACCTCGTCTACTCCCCACAGGTGGTGACAATGCCAGAGTATCTGAGGAAGCGTTTTGGTGGGAAGCGGATTCAGGTCTACCTGTCAGTTCTTTCTCTGATCCTGTATATTTTCACAAAGATCTCAGTAAGTAAAACTTTTACAGCATTTCTTCCATCATACATTGATGTAAACAAAAGAAACTCCCACTTACGATATTGCTCACACAACTGGTCATTTGCTTCTGATTTGGAGCCCTTGGTTGAATTAAGGACTCTCAAAATACAATTTTGTGGTTTCTTTATCTAGTGAGATTGTGTATTCAGATCTGTTCTGCAATCAGTTTTTTCCTTCCTGACAATGTCTCTTGATGCTTGTTGTGCTTTCTCTTTCTTTTTTAGGTTTTAAGGTTTACTTCTACTTATGCTTTCCTCTAGAACATGTCAGAGTGAAGGAAGACAGTCTATTACCCTAGGGATCCGTGAAACATGTAGCAGGAATTTTTGTCCCCAGACTTCATATTTATTTGTTTTGGCATCCTCTGGTGAACATCCATCAGTAATAGAGATGAGGGAATACAGCAAGAGGGCTATGGAGAAAAAGAGAATAATAGGAATTAGAAAACAAGGAAGGAGGCAATGCCTGGGCGGAAAATTATAACAACTGAGGTGAAAGGAGGGAAGAGGAGACATTCTTTTAACGGGCAAGCGTATCAAGTGGTTGTGTTGCTGTTGCTGTGGAGTAGTGAATGAAGCTGGTATTTTCCATATATCTTGAAACTATCTAGCCTCTAAAGAAGTCCACAGTTCAGGCATACCTCAATCTGTTGTTTTGCAGAAGTTGCCATGGCAGATTAGTCTTTGCCCTCTGAATGGGAGCTGAGTGATAATAGTGCAATTTAAGCTAAAAGATTGGCCTTTTGCTCTCATTCTCACATCTTGACGATAACTGATCCTTAGAGAGGTTATAAATTAAACAGGTTGGTACTGTGGAGCTGGCCTTCAGAGTTGGATTTCCATATATTTCAAAAGGATTAGTTAATTTGCTGTTGTTGTGCTTAACTGCCATAATCAGAAAACCCAGGTATGACACAGAGTTCTGGCAGCTCTAGCAGTCGGATGACTCACAGTCCTATTCTGCAACACATGTTTGTAACGAGCTCATCAAGGTGTTACATAGGTTCTGAATTTACTGTCTATCTTTTATTTCCATCCTCTATCATGCCTAAAGATCTGGTCATGGGATTTCACCCCACTTCAGTTGGAGTGTCTTGCTTCCGGGCATGACAGGCTTTAATCTTCCAGTGTGGTGTGAGGCTGAAGCACCTTCTGCTCTCCTGGTCCTCTCCTATTAGGAGCAAAGAAATTGTCAAGAGATCTATACAGCATCAGATTACCCAGGCCCTGCTCCACCAGGGGCCCATCCCAGCTTCCCATCAACCCAATTAATCCAGATGTATGTGGGGAATTGGCACAGAGATTTTCCCCCTGTGCTTTGCAGGGGAAAAATTCAGTGCACAGGTTTCTCTAATCATTTTTTCTTTCCCTCATTTGCCCAGAACAGGTCTGAAATTGTCTGTCCCATGCACAAATGTACAAACACGTCTTCTGCATTGTTGTCCTATGTCACTATATTCAGCAGGGCAGGATTTGCCTAGATGCCTAGAATCTTTATTGCTGGATCTTATTCAGAGTAGGCAGAACAAAGTCCTTGAAGGTTTCAGGTACTGTCAGAGGAGGTCAGAGTAGGTTTTTCTATACCATGCTATGCCACACCGTGCCCAGACTGTCTCCAAATGAACCAGCCCCAGAAGCAGAAAGGGAAAGGCTCTTCCATCCTGGATGTAGATAACTTCTTTGTGCTGTGTAGAGCTATGCGTGCTACGTGAAGCTCACTCAGGCCTCTCTTTCCGGAGACACGTTGTATACCCAAACATACCCGTTTGTTGACAATCCATGCCATAGCTGGCTTGGCAATTTGCATTTTACTTCCTTGACTGCTGCCTTTGCAAACACTCCCTTGTGATCTTTGAGGCTTATTGAGATTTGATATAGAAGGATGGGTTTCTGCCCTGCCCTTAATGGGCCGTCACACCTATCAGTCTGACTAGAAGTGATACTTACTGCTGCTTATCCTTGTAGAACAGTGGCATCTTGTTTCTGGTGTAGTTATTTCGTGTGCTGTTTCCTTGATGTGTTAAAATATTATCTAATGTTCTTAATAATGTAATTATTACAATGCTTTCCAATGGACAATTGTTCTGGTTTTGACTGGGATAGAGTTAATTTTTCTTCTTAGTAGCTAGAATAGTGTTGTGTTTTAGATTCAGCTTGGGATTTGGTATGAGATGAATGCTGATAGTATACTGATATTTTCAGTTGTTTCTAAGAAATCAAGAATTTTTCAACTCCCCATGTCCTGCCTGTGGGCAGGTGGACAAGAAGATGGGAGGGAACACAGCCAGAGCACTGGATCCAAAGTGGCCAGTGGAATATTCTGTATCATGCAACATCATGCTCAGTATATAGATGAGGATAGGCTGGGAACCTGGGGCTCTTTCTCTTCCTGGATTGCAGTTTTGGGATTTTCTTTCCTCTGGGATCATTAGCTGGGAATAGGCTGGGCTTTGGTCAGCAGGTGGTGAGCAATTGCATTGGGCATCCCTTGTTTGTATATTCTATTATTACTATTATAATGATTATTTTAATTTAATTTTATTTTATTTCAATTATTAAACTAACTTTACCTCAACCTATGATTCTCCCCACCTTTATTCCTCCAATTCTGTCCCCCACCCCCTGGGGCAGGGGAGGGTGAGTGTGTGGCTGTGTGGTGTTTGGCTGCTGGCTGGGTTTAAACCATGACAATAATATAATACATCAGGTCATGTAACTCCTGGCACAGTGCCCACCACCCTGTGATGATTAGACTCCCTTTGCACACCTCTGTACAAGGTTGTTACCATTTCTCTCTTTTCCTGAACATTTTCTGTATTTTTGTATTGATTTCTCACCTGGTGGTGTGGCTAATCAACCACTTGCCAGACAATTGCCAGCTAAGGCCATGCTGCAAGGTGTCGATCTTTGGGATCAGAACACATCTGATTTTCAAGCCCAAAGAATTTCTGTTGTACAGGACCCTCACCTGTACAAGCTTCCTAAGCATGCAGTACTTTGTGAGTAATGCCTATAGCACCTCTCAGAGTCTAGGTTTGTAATGAGCTCATCAGCCACTACTGTTGCTGATATTGGTCAGGATGCCAAAGAAAATGACCTACTAAAAATAAAATTTGATGGAGAGTAATTGACTAAATATGACAAGACAAAAGGTAATTAAGACCTGAATGTTTTTGAAGAAATCAGAAATTGTAAACTGAAATTTATAAATGTATTACAGCATTTTCTTTACATTCATTGTGCAGAATTTCAGGAGTAAATGTGTGGGTATAGACTTACCCAGAGGGAAGAGGAGGTAGAAGGATAACCTCCTCTTAGGACTGCATGATGTAGGGGGGGTAAAGAGTATGTGCCACTTCCCTGACTCCCACAGGAACATGGCAGCTGGATTCACTCAGTTGGTATGTGTTCTGCCAGTTGTTCCTGTGTGATCTGTGGATGGCTTTGGAGAGATAGTTTGGAATGCAAATGAAAGATTTACTCTATTAGAGATAAGGATTAAATAGTGCCCATAAAATATTAATGGAAAACAAGGAAATATTGGAAGGAAATAATCTAATTGGGAGAGAGGAGCACTGAAGTTGGAAGGTAACTCAGCAGGTCAAAGAAGCTGATGTATTGCTCAGGATGCTAAATAATTAACTATACATTTCTTTCTGGGGGTCATTTTAGGAGCATTAATATTTAATGCTATGTAGGCTAAACTAAAGCCAAGAACAGTAAAAGAAAGATCTGGGACATAAGCTGGTCAGTGGTGTGAAAAGGTAGGAAAAAAATATTCCCATAGAGAGAAGGGACAAAGGGTACGGTCTAACTTCCACTGGGGTTAAGGGCTAAATGTCCTGGTCTGCAGTTCCAAACTAAAACCTGTAGGGAATCAAATCATCTCAAGCTGCTCTAGAGGCAGAGTTGTGAGGGTGGGACCTCTGCTGTGATTCACACTGCTTCACGTCAGGGCAGTAGGGAGGGTCGGAGGACCTCTTGCTGCAGAGATCCATCCATCTCCCATCCATCTTCCTCATTCTCCAGAGAGAACCAAGGGTGAGCTCATACCCTGCAGTCTCGGTTTCAGTGTCTTCGGAATGAAGAAAGTTTCTTCATCTGGCATCTCCCAGCTCGCCAGACTGCGTAACTGCTTATTAGTGTACCTGCCCTGCCTTGGCTCGGCCCAGGCGAGGACAGAAGCGGTGCAAGTGCCGCTCCCGTGACCAGAGGCTGGGGCTGGCCCACCGCCTGGCCTGAGCAACCTCCCGCTCCTCCGGCGAGTGCCGCCTCGCAGCGGCCCTGCGCTACCCCAGGGCACGTGTAACGGTGGTTATCTTTATTTCTCAGACCCTGCACATGGGCAGTTCCTGCAGCATTTTGCAGCTCCCGAGCCTGCTGAATGCCCCTGGGAGCAGAACTGTTAAATGACAGGAATGCCCGTATAGCTGGTGTTGGGGGGCTGCAGGTGGGACTGGAGCCGGGAGCAAGGACAGGTACAGATGTAAGCCTCTAATGAAAGCATCATTTACAGCGGTGCATTGCAAGTGCGCTGGGGTAGATTATTCTGATTGCAAACTTGGATAAATAATGTCGATGCAAATGATCTCTAAATCAGGAACTGATTAGTGTGGTTAAAATCCCAGAGTGTAACTCTGAAACCTGAATAATTCCTGTCTTACGCAAGAGCTAAAGGTCTCTTCTGTTAGCCAACTGATGTCAATTATTCTGACAGGAACTTAAAAATAGAGATAATACAAGATGTTTGCCTTTAATCACCATTTGTCCTGAACCAGCAAGACTAGCTATACCACATGTATGCAAGCAGTGAAGAAAAAGTAAGAGATTTATAGATCAGCATTAAATGAAGAGAACCATGCCATGTCTTGTAGGTGTCACAGAGTCTATCCCTGCACATAGTAGCAAGTGTAACCTGAGCTTTAACTAATTTGTTACTAATCTCTTTAGTATGTAAGAACCAAGTAGTGAGGTGACTCTGTCTACCTAAAACGATCCATTGAAAAAGACCTGGGTATTCCTTGAGAGGTGTTACAATTCTTGTGCTGAAAGCAGCATGGCACTGAGAGGAGACTGGCACTTGTCCTAAAATGGCCTCTATTTTCTTTCTGATTTTTTTTTTTTTTTTTTTTTGGTGTGTGTGCAGTGCTATAAGGGGGGGGGAGTTGTGTATTTCAGTACCTGCATCATGAATGTGAAATGTGCCATCATCATGAATTTAAACATTGCTTAATCTGTAATCTTTTCTTTTATAGGCAGACATATTCTCTGGAGCTGTATTTATACAGCTGGCCATAGGGCTGAATCTTTATTTGGCCATAATTATTCTGCTTGCTATTACTGCTCTTTACACCATCACAGGTGAGTTTGCAAAGCAGTCTGATAAATTAAATGATAGAGAAGCCAGAAAAAAGAGAAGAGGGGAGGTGGGTAAGAGAGGAGAAATGAAAACCTCAAAGGGGAGTGATTTACAGTGACCTTGAGAGGTGGCGAGAGAAGTGAAAAAAAAAAAAAAGGATTTCCAACTGAGGCATTTACACAGGGGCTAACCTGTTTGCCTTGAATTTTCTTTGCCATTAGGTGGTCTTGCAGCTGTGATTTACACAGACACCTTACAAACATTTATCATGGTAGTGGGATCCTTTATTCTCATGGGATTTGGTAAGTAAATCAGATGAATTAAACTGGAAATTATTTTTTGTTCTTTTTGTCTTCCTTTGGGTTGAAAGAGAAAAGATCATCTCTTTCCAACCCCCTGCCCTGGGCAGGGTCACCTTCCACTCGCCCAGGTTGCCCAGGTCCGTGTCCTTCTGACGTTGGTGCCCCCAGAGCTGGACACAGGACTCCAGGTGGGGTCTCACCAGAGCAGAGTAGAGGGGGCGAATCCCCTCCCTCGCCCTGCTGCCCACACTGCTCTGGATGCAGCCCAGCACACGGTTGCCTTTCTGGGCTGCGAGCGCACGTTGCTGGCTCACAGGCAGTTTTCCATCCACCGATACCCCCAAGCCCTTCTCCGCAGGGCTGCTCTCCATCCACTCCTCGCCCAGCCTGTGTCTGTGCTTGGGATTGCCCCGACCCGTGGGCAGGACCCTGCCCTTGGCCTTGTTGAACTCCATGAGGTTGGCACGGCCCCACCTCTCCAGCCTGTCCAGGTCCCTCTGGATGGCACATCCCCTCCCTCCAGCGTGTGACCGCCCCACACAGCTCGGTGTCGTTGGCAAACTGCTGAGGGTGCCTCGATCCCACTGTCCAACAAAGATGTTGAACAGTGCCAGTCCCAACACTGACCCCTGAGGAACGTCACTCATCACTGCTCTTCACGCTTTGAGTGCAACCATTCAGTCAGTTCCTGATCCACTGACTGCTTCATCCCTCACATCCACATCTCTCCAATTTAGAGACAAGGATGTTGTGCAGGACAGCGTCAAAAGCTTTGCATGAGTCCAGGTAGATGAGAGTCGGTTGCTGTAACCCCACCATAGAAGGTCACCAAATTCATCAGGCATGATTTGTCCTTAGTGAAACCACGTTGGCTGTCACCAATCACCTCATTTTCCATGTGCCCTAGCACAGCTTTCATGAGGATTCACTTCATGATCTTACTGGTCACAGAGGTGAGACTGACTGGCCAGTGGTTCCCCAGGTCCTCTTTATTTCCCCTTTTAAAAATGGGGGTTATATTTCCCCCTTTTCAGTCAACGGGAACTTTGTGAGACTGCACCAGCTTCTCAAATATGATGGATAGTGGCTTAGTCACTTCATCTGACAGTTCCCTCAGGATCTGCAGATCCATCTCATCAGGTCCCTTGGACTTATGCACCTTCAGCTTCCTTGGATGGTCTCAAACCTGATCTTTTTCTACAGTGGGTGGTTCTTCCTTCTCCCAGTCCCTGCCTTTGCCTTTTGTGTCTTGGGCGGTGTGGCTGGAGCCCCTGCTGGTGAAGACCGAGGCAAAAAAAGTCACTGAGTACCTCAGTGTTCTCCATATCCTGGGTAACCAGGCCAACCACAAGTCCCATGGTGGCTGTGGAAACAGACCCTGCGATGTGGAACCGTTACCTTAACCAGCGTATTTTGGTTCATATACCTATTTATCGGGAATGAAAAGAGACATGCTGCCAAGCCCTTTTGAGATCGCTCCATCTCCACAGCACAAGTGAATGTGTAAGGTGATACACACCCCATAATAGAACAGGACTCAAGATGGCTAACGAAGTAAAAGTTGTTTGCAGGTGATGATGATGCTCTTGAGAAGTGCAGAGAGCATCTTGTTTCAAGATTATAATTTTGTAGATATTCAGATGTTAATGCATGACATTTCCAATTCAAAGTGGAGAGTTGTTGGTCATGTTGCATGTTTTTATCTTGTTTCTAGCTGGTAGCTTTTGTTAAAACAACCCAAACATTTTAATGTTTTAAGTAAGCCTTGTAGTTGATCTACAGCTGTCATTATATTGCCAGCTGGACAAAAGATATGAACGGAATGTTTATGAATGGGACAGTGCCTGTGTTTGGAAGCCCATATGCATTTTCAAGTAGAAACCATCCTGTTAAACAGTATTAATAGGAAGAGGTCATAAGAAAGAAAGAAGTAGTGATAAGATTCCATGAATCTGTAGTGTCCTTTCCTTATCTTTCTAGTTACTCAGCACTTGGTTTTCCTCTAGCTAGGTCATTCACTGAAATGTAATTATCCCACCATTGTTATCACAGAAATAACTTCAGACTGACCTAACCTGGTAAGACCCTGCCGTAGGTTCTCCCTAGGTTAACCCTGTGTGGAAATAATCTATCTTCATTCCACTTCTTGGCAAGGCACGTACAAGAGATGTGGAGCCTAAACCAACATTTGCAGGCTACACAGATACCTACATAGAAAGGTCACTTTAGTGTCAATACTCACAAAACGCTGTATGCTGTTTTCTGAAGAAGCTGATGTACACTGGCTAGGGGTCTTTTACATCCATATTGAGGAGGTTTTACTCCTCACATTCTCTGCTCTATTTGAGATTTCAGTACTGAATACTTTATTGCTACTTTTACTTTCTGTTTTTCAGCATTTGCTGAAGTAGGAGGGTATGATGCTTTCATGCAGAAGTACATGGAAGCAATTCCATCCAATGTCTCCTACGGGAATACTACGATTAAGGCCGAGTGCTACACTCCTCGGAAGGATTCCTTTCACATCTTCCGAGACGCCGTCACTGGAGATCTGCCATGGCCAGGACTCATCTTTGGTTTGAGCATCCTTGCTTTGTGGTACTGGTGCACAGATCAGGTAATGTGGAAGCCATAAGCCTTGGAAATGCTGAACGCAGAACTCTGCAGTCTAGTGTGATCTAGGGGTGTACTTCCCCCATTGTAATTCAAAGCCGGGTCACAGAAATGGCAGCTATTTCAAGACTGGTCAGTCACTTCTCAGTTTCTGGTTTCTAAACCCCTCCCGCATGTGAGAAAATGGAACAGATGTTCTTACAGTTCTTCTGCACTGTGCCCAGCAGATACTGTGTGTAATTCCTTTCTCATTTTTTGTGTGTGACCATAAGTAAAAAACCAGAGAGTTTGTAATGTGAATTTAGGAAACCATGTATCAAATGATTCTTGTTAGTCTGGGACAGATATGATTCCCCATTCAGTAATCTGATTTTGTTTCCTATTTGTGCGGCTTTCACCTTTGCATACCCAGTCCAGGGAGGATGTCCTTTAAATGTCAGGTCTTTCAGTCTGGAGAGTCTTCCCCAGGCCTCCTTTCTTCTCCCTAAAACCTACTGTCCAGTTTCCCCAAGAGATCCCACTGACATGAGTAGAGGAAAATGTGCTCCTGCAACTGTGACGTGAGAATGTGTCCAATCTCTAGCAAGTGATTTGTCTGCAGTCTGAATTCTCTCATTCTGTAAGAAAGACAATCTTCACAATATGTAAACAAATGAAAAAAACCCAGATGTAATTGTATCTATTGCTCATGTAAATATTTTATTCCTTTTTGGCTTTTTAGTCTATCTGCTTTAAGAACATCTTGTGAGAAACATACTCTTAAACATACACTGGATAAATGACACTTTCCTTTACTTATTTCAAATATATCCTTCGATTTTCATGTCATTTTTGTTATTCCCAGTGACAGAAATTGTAAATAGGCTCTTTCACTCTCACAGGGGTTAAGAACTACCTTGCATCCGGAACCTGGCATGGTGTGTTGATGGCAATGCTATTCTTGGTTGTCACACAGACTTGCTGTGTCTTGTTGACAGGTTATTGTCCAGAGATGTCTCTCTGGCAAGAACATGTCCCATGTGAAGGCTGGTTGTATCATGTGTGGATACCTGAAACTCTTGCCCATGTTTATTATAGTGATGCCTGGAATGATCAGCCGAATTTTGTACACAGGTACGTGTATGTATACAGAAATGCAAATTTCTTCTTGCTGCCCATGTGTCACTGCCAGTCTCTCTCAATATCCTGTTCTCTGTCCCTTCCAAAACACTGTTAGATTGTGCAGGCACATACGCTGTAAGAAGTCACAGGTCTTCCTCTTTTCCCTGATCTCAGGTTTCTGCTAATGCTATTGCTCTCCATTTTAGGGGAGAGAAATTCCACAGTGTCCCTCCCCAGCTGTCTGTCACAGCCCCACTCTGGCTGAATGAGTGGAAAATGCTGTCCAGGACTGACAATCTGATGGCAATCCCGGGAAGAGGGCCATCAGTGGCAGACAGGACTATTCTGGGCATGGACAGCCCCGAGCGCAGCGTGGGGGAAACTCCAACCTCCCTCTGAGCATCAGCGTGTTTAAAGCAGGCAGAGGAGAGATGTTGAGGCTGGAGGGAGGGGTCTGAGTGTTCCTCTGCTTGTTTTTGAACTTGCTGTCCTTCCCTGCCAGCAGACCAAGGATGGTATCAAGCATGTCAGTCCAGCAGTTCAACACATAGATAAATTTTAGAAGCAATTAATTTGTGAGCAATCTGTTGTTTATACAACCTTGTCTAACCCTGTCTTGTTATTCTCTCCTCAGATGTGGTGGCTTGTGTCGTGCCTGAAGTCTGCCAGCAGTACTGTGGCACTGCTGTTGGCTGTACAAATATTGCCTACCCAAAAATGGTAGTGGAGCTTATGCCAAATGGTAAGACACTGTCTGTATTTGTTTGTTTGTTTGTTTTAGGAAAGGTGAGGCTGCCAGGCTGTAAAAACAGGTGATAGAGGGAGGCCAAATTCCAGATTTAGTTCAAAACTTCTTGCTAGAACTGTGTACTAGTAATCAAAGGGGTAGTCCCTACCGGTTGTAGCTGTAGGTGCAGAACAGCTACAGGCTGACACTGTCAGCTCTCAGCTGGCAAATACTGGGTGATGAAACGGTAACTGAGCTCCCTTTCTGTGGAGGTAAAAAATAACCTACTTTGCCAATGATTCATAAAAAACTGTCTCTGCCAGGATTTCTGAGTCGGAGGCACACACCTGCAGTCCTCCTGCTAAACCCACCCAGGTGGGAGGAGAAAATATTCTATGTACACATTGTCCTGCAGGACACCTGTTCGGTGAGAGAATAAGGCACCCCTCTGGAGAGGACTATGTACACACGGAAGATAAATCTATGCAGAAAACCACAAAGCTGGTTCATAAGGCTGGAAAGACAGATTATGCTATGCAGACCATGGTCCTTCCCTGATATCTTTAGTACTTCCTCATGGTATTATAACTGTTGTACATAGTATTATTAAAATACTACAGTGCTTCCCCATACTGTGTTGATTAGATCATACCATCTGGAAAAGTGGCTTACTCTGATTTTTGAACAGTAAAAGAAACTTTTTTTTTTTTGGCTAAACAACTGGTTTACAAATATATCACCATCAAGCAAGCACTTGCCTGCAAACAAGAGAAAATATTTTTATAACTGTTGGGGAAAGTCTGCTTAGTATTATTTTCTTTTTATTTCAGCATTTAATCAGACAGCATTCACAAAAGAAGTATGTATGTTCTAAAAGCTCAAGAGTTGCCCTATCAGTGCTGTAAATAGCTTTTCCAAAGCTCAGCAGACATCACTCTGCTTGCATTGCAAGAGAACGTCAGGGAGGCACCTGAATGTGCCAGACACACTCCCAGCTGCCTGACTTGAGCGGGTCAGACAAGCACGATGGATGGTGCCACGTACCGAGACTTTCCACGGAATGCTCATCCCAGTTCACATGTCTCTGTATTTCAGGTCTGCGGGGACTGATGTTGTCGGTCATGTTGGCCTCCCTCATGAGCTCCCTGACTTCCATTTTTAACAGTGCGAGTACATTGTTTACGATGGACATTTACACCAAATTTCGATCACGACCATCCGAGAAAGAGCTTATGTTAGCCGGAAGGTAAGAGCAGCCGAGTGTCGCCCAGCTGCAGAGGCCCACCAGCTCTAGGAGCCTTACCCTGTGCCTCCAAAACCCCAGCGGGTGCCTGGGTGAAATCCTGCCTTGGCAGCCTGCGGGCAGGCAGCACTGGCCTCCCGTGGCCAGACAGCCCGTCCCACCCCGGTTTCCTCCTGGCAAGAACCCAGCCTTGCTTCCAACTGAATTGACAGGGGTGCATGAGGTAGCTAAGCTAGTTCTCAACACTTCCTACTGGTATTCAAAGGGAACTATTTTAAAATATCTTCACAGGCTTTCTGCTACACCACACTACAGCATCAATGAACTAGTTCTAGTTGATCTGCTATTGATTTGTCTCTAGACATAGCAAACAAAGGAAAAAAGTGATTTTCTACATTTTGATTGCATGTTTAGCTGTATGCTGAACAACAGTTGACAGACACAATATCCAACTTGGATTTCTTTTGTTTGTTCAGCGGTAATTGGCCATTATCGTTGATTATGCTGGTTGAAATACAAAATGGATATTTCAATTATTGATTAATTGTTGGTTTTTTCTTTCTGCTAGATGCTTCTAAGCAGGTGACTAATTGAATATCTGGCTGTGTTTACAGGGCATTTATGTTACTTTTAATTGGCATCAGCATTGCCTGGGTTCCTGTGGTGCAGTCAGCTCAAAGTGGGCAGCTCTTCGATTATATTCAGTCAATTACCAGCTACCTGGGTCCTCCCATTGCTGCTGTCTTCCTGCTTGCTATCTTCTGCAAGCGGGTCAATGAGCAGGTATGTACAAATTAGGAAGCAGGCATGCTGCATGTTCTTTTAGGCATTGGGAGAATTGTTTTTTTGTTTTGATGTCTTTTATTAGCAACTTCTCCCTGTTTATTTTAATCCCACTCCAGCCCAGGGATTCTGTCTTTCCATACCCTAGGGCCTGAGATTTCAGAGATGAGTTTAAAAAAAATTCTTTGCTAATCTGATAAATAAAGAGTCAACCAGGAATTCCTAGATAGCTCTGAAACTAAGGGTTTCTGTCCATTTGCCAAGGAAGTGTGTCAAATGAATAGTTTGTGGAGATATATTTGAAAATAATCTTTTAGGATATTGGTCACCAAACTGCTTTACCAAACATATCACCTTTCATTTTCCTCTTGACCACCATATGTTTTGTCAATAGTCCTTTATAACAAACATGCTGTTGTTCCATGCGTTGCTTCTCATGGGTTTTAGGACCTAGTCTGGGAATCACTGATTTTGCTTCGTAGAGCAGTGAACTGAGAAATATTGTACTTATCTCAGAAGGCAGGAGGTCTGTCACAGGCTTTGATGGGAGCATAGGCCAGTCATGGTCACTGGGGTCTCAGACATTCTGAAAACTCCATACTCAGGAATTCAGTCTCTTTTCTATAATACTAGGAATAACAACACTTGCCTGTTGCTCAGGTTTGCTCCAAAAAGGATAAGTTCAATGGGAAAGCCTAGAGAGAGAATGTTTCTGAATATCACCAAAACTTTTTTTCCCACTGTTTTGTCTTGAGACCAGTTCAGTGGTTATTTGTGTGTATATGCAAGAAAAGCCCATTTGACACACAAGGGATGTTCCATTTCCTATCTCAAACGGCTAAACCTCACAAATGGATTAAATCCTTGTGCCCTTCGTGGAAATCTGTCATTGACTTTAGCTGAAATTTTACCGGAGTAAGAATTCAGTATAATCCTCATGGGTTTGTGTACACTGTACATTTTAAATTTGGGGAAATAGGGAAGACAAATATCAAAGCTTCTGAGAATTGGAGCTTTGCGTAAGGTAAACTCCGATATTGTAATTACTTATAAGATTTATCAGCATTTCTTGCTCAGACCCATTCTTCTTTCTGCCAGAAATGGAATTAACTATCTTGTCCTACTCCAAAACCTTTTTTCAACTTTGACCACTGAATAATTAAAACTTTTGTTTTTAAACCCAGCAATATTTTTTAATCAGGATTTAGAGATTTATGTTACCATTATTAGTTTTTTGACTTCACAAACTCAGAGAATGGTTAAGATTGGAAGGCACCTCTGGACTAGTCCAACCCCCGCTGCTCAGAGGCAGGACTAACAGCAGGATCCTTAGATCCTGTTCAATTGGGTTTTGAATGCCACCCCGGATGGAGACTCCACAGTGTCTCTAGGCAACCTGTTCCAATGTTTAATCACCCTTACAGGAAAAAAAAAAAAATAAAATGTTTAAACAGAATTTCCCATATTTCAATCTGTGCCCAAGCATACCTGTGTGTCTTTTATACTTTGGACTAGAATAATACATGCCCAGCAGTAAGACATCTATGTTTTAACTTCCATATTAACATCGACATTAACTTTTAACTAATTACTAATAAGATCCCTAGAAGATAAACCAGACACATGTTTCAGGAGGAATGACACACACTTGCTAGATGGCTTCATCATGCTGGAACTGTCAGGGATTTAGCCCTCAGAGATAAAAATATATGAGAAGAACCCTTGGGATGTGTAGTCTGTGGCTTGAGCCTGTCCTGTATAAGGAGAGCATCATGTGGAGACGGGTGAACTTTGAGACACGTACTGGATAAGGTGTTCTCCATGTTGCTTCTCCAAGTTGCTGGTCATTGCTGCTTTCAGTTGTATTAATACACCGAGCTGTAAATACAGTCACTGAAAGTGTCTGGGTTAAAACCCCTGTGCCAAAGGCAACATAACACATAAGTACCTCATGTTCCCTCCAGCAACTACTCAGGGCTTAGAGCTTATTTCCACACCACGCTGTGGTAACTCCTGTCACTTTGTCTGCAGGGTGCCTTCTGGGGCCTGATGGTTGGGCTGCTGGCTGGGCTCAGCAGAATGATTGCAGAGTTTGCCTATGGAACTGGCAACTGTGTGAACCCTTCCAACTGCCCGTTCATCATCTGCGGGATTCACTACCTTTACTTTGCAATGATTCTGTTTGGGGTTACCGCCATCGTCATCCTGGCAGTCTCCTTCATGACTAAGCCCATTCCTGATGTACACGTGAGTATTATTGCAGTCCTGCTTCTCAAGAAATGGAACTCAATGAAACCACTAGTTTTAAACACTGGTACTTGGTATAGTACCTCTTGAAATGTCAACTACCCACATCATATAGTCCTTGTAAGAAAGTAGGGGAAATAGTTTTCATTTATCTGTTGCAAATCTTCAGTGACTCCTAATAATTGTAGACTTAACAGACATTTGGGGTGCCATGGTCTTAAAGCTTGTTCATGTGCTGGCCAGACTGATTTGTCTCTGTGTAGTGAGGCTGTAGATTTATAAACTCATTTTGTTTCACGGCAGCTTTACCGCTTGTGCTGGTCTTTGCGGAACAGCAAAGAAGAACGTATTGATCTTGATGCAGATGAGCAGGACAAAGCTGATGAAAAAGATGAGGAATCAGGTAACTGTTGAATATCTATAGATTCTATCACTATGAGTACCCCTATTTTATTCTTGAAGAAACATTAACATGTTTGATATACAAAGACATGCTTCCTCCCCACAACAACAGAACCTCAAACCCCACATGTTTAAGTGGCTACTAAGCTGCCTTTTATCAATCTATCAAGCGTTGCGTAAATCAGATTTGAAGAGAGAGAATCTTGTTGTCTAGGTAGGTAGGTGCCAGTTCTAGGATTAAAACAATGGAGATGTTTTAGGTTAGAGGTGGTGCACACTGGCAGACATGCAACTCTAGCACTTGGAATGAAATGAGAATTCACTTGGAAAGAGTGTTTAGTAGCCAGGGTTGAAGGAACGAGGATCTGGTGCAAGGTACCATGAAATGGAAAAGGCAGACATCCATCCGGGCAAAACCACCTGCTCTCTTTGCTGGGTTTCTGGTTCTGCTGCCAACTTGCTTGTCATAAGTATCCTCAAGTTCCTTTATCTGTCTTTTAATTAAAAGTGTAGAAAGTATAGAAAAAATGGAGTTTAAGCTTTGCAGCATGTTTTGCTTCTCTAATACCAGACCACGTCTCTAGGCTGCAAAAGGCTCACTTGCAACATACGGAAAATCACTCTTTTTCCAGGTGAGCTGTGAAAACACAAAATTAACTTGATTCTTGTACTGCCTTGTACTAAAATATTTCCATATAAATATGATGATAAATCAGAGCTGCAGTATTAAATAGAGGAATGTCCTCAGTCACAGAGATCTCTAGTGCATGCAGTGCTCCGTGCTTACATTTCATGACCAGTGTGTTATTCCTTCCAGTTAATGAGGAAAGCAAAGAAGAATCGGGATGCTTTAGGAAAGCGTACAACTGGTTCTGTGGCTTAGATCAGCAAAAAGGACCCAAACTGAGCAAGGAGGAAGAGGAAGCATTGAAGAAGAAACTGACTGACACAAGTGAAGTGCCACTTTGGAGGAACGTCGTGAATATCAACGGCATCATCCTGTTGACTGTGGCTGTGTTTTGCCATGCCTTCTTTGCGTAAACCTCTGATTACAGTTCTGAAATTGTACTGTGTCGCCAAGCAAAAACTATGACTTGTAGATTTACAGAGTTAGAAACACTTAGTATGTTCATTGTCTACTTTTGTAAAAAATCAGAGTGATTTACTCACTGACTTTGTGATCATAATTTCAACAATCTAAAGATGAAGGCCTCTGGGATTTCAAGAGAGATATATTTTGTTTAGACATTCAATCCAGGGCTAGTTGAGGTTCAGAATTTCCATCCAAGGTTCTCTCTACTTGTCATACATTTTCTATTTTAGGTGCAGAACAAGGCTGCGTGAGCCACATTTCATATAAGGGTTTGTGAACTACCTTTTAGGTCGATTGTCAACCCTTCCTCTGATCATTCAAATTTCTTTTTCCTTTTGCTATTATAATTTGATTACAAAAAAAACCCCCACACTGAGGGACGATATTATGAATTCAAATTTTAAAAAATCAATTTTGTTCCCTCCAAGCATGGGTTACCTTAAGTAAAGTGTTTATGTATATATTGATGCATTTGACGCTATATCTAACTTTCTATTATAACTTTTTTTTCCCTTTTCCCACTTTTTGTGGTGCTGTGTTTCTCAGTAATCAGTGGAACACCAACCATCTGAAATGATTGGGTTTTGAAATTGGGGAAAATATGTATCGATGATCTTAATAAGAATTCTGCTTACGATAGATTCTCTAAGGTTAACTTCAGAAGGTCCTCCTCTCTTTATATTTTAATATGTATCTATACTTGAATGTGAAGCTTTTTTATACAAAATACATATATATACACATGCAATATGTTATATTTATGCACTATATATATATTATATATATATTTAAAATATATATGTATGTGTGTATATATATATTTATTTCTTACTGATGAATTCCCAACTCGGTATGTCGAAGTTAGTCTCTGCCCACAACTACTAGGGCCTCTGTCTTGTGGAGCTGGTGTTAATGTGTTGCCTCTTTTTATGGATGGTACTACAAAACAATCCACGCACACGGTTAAAGTCCAAAGCATCAGAGTGTTGGGTTTGCATTTTTCTTTCAAGTACATTCGAGGGCTCTGTACTGCTGTTCTGCAAAGCTGTAACTCTTCCTTCTGAAGATTTTATTGAGAAATAGAAGTCATGCTGTATGACAGTATGAGTTAACAGTTCATGAAAGAGAATAGCCACAGCTGTGGGATGTCAGCTAAACCAGCCTCATTGTCTCCACTTGATAAGTTTGATACTAGCTGGAGATACAGGAAAAGATAGATTTAACACTTCAAAGCAAAAAACAATAGATCATCTTATCATCTAATTCAGCTTCCTGGGGAATCAAGTGTAAAAAGAAGTCATCAGTTGCTGTAGTCAAGCTGCACCACAGTTCCTTGTTCGCGTTGCACACATACCGTGGGATGCTGCACTGTCTCAAAGCATTTCAGTGGGATTCTCCGAGCAGGATGCACTGGACTTGTTATGAGTGTGTCTAAACAGGGGGCCAGTAGTCTCTCATGTGCTACACCACCCTGCTGCTAACTCCTGCAGCTTTAATCGCTCTCACTTCAGAATCTTCCGTCAATATCTTTTCTTCACTTGCATCTAAACCAAAATGCTCTGGATTCTTGTAGAATTGCTGCTCTTCAGTAGAGTTCCTGTAGGATACTGAAAGGTTTTGCATAGGCCAGATCAAATCAATACTATATAGATACCAGTGCAAACCTTTTTCTTACGGTTATTACAGTGATAGAGTATTTTAAAGACCATGGAATTAATTATATTTAATGGACTATGAAGACTTGTATGTATTAAAGTATTTGTATATTTTGAAGTATTTGGTGTCCAGAAAATGATGGGATTTTATATAATATGATGGAAGAGAGTGAAACAGTTTGGGGTCTAGACTTTGGCTCTGGGTAACAGTAATGGATGACAAACAAATGAGGAAGACTTTAATGAGGATTGCCCAGATCTCTCTTTGTCATGCTTTGTTACAAAAAGAAAAATATGGTGAAACTGTACAGCCATTTGGATAAAGACAAACAACACAAGTGATTTCCTGGCAGGCTGATTAGCCTTTAGATGACCTTCTGGTTAGTCAGACACTGTCACTTCATTTTCCGTCCTGGGATTAAAGAATTTTGAAAAACTAACTTTCGGTTTCCCAGGGACGTTCACTGTACATCCTCAGCAACATGGTTCTGTTCTGGTCTGAAAACTGAATGCTGTAGAGGGCAGAGTTCAAATGTTTACATAAAGTTTGACTGCTGCTTTGAGTACTCCTCTAATTTTGTAGAACTGCATAGAAAAACTGCCTGATATTGTGAACAGCTGATAACACTGCTAATGTTTACATTAATAGTTAAATGCCACCTCAGGTTGGAAGCTATTGCATTCAAAGGCCGTTTCGTGATTTTAAGGAAGAAAGTGACTTTTCTTCAATTCTCAGGGAAACTGTCCAGTTAGGGGTGGGACACTTTCAGACAAAACTCAAGAAGTAGCTTACACTCTCCTGGGCATTTTCATGCTTTATAAACAGGAACAGTGAGCACATGCATGTTCCTCTCTGACTGTAAATTTGAAATACTTCTGGTTAGTGGAGAGACTCCAGATATATCTCTGGCTAATAGCAAAATATACATGCATGGCATGTCCAGCATAATACAACTAGTTCAGGTGATCCTGAGACATTCTACCTTATCCCGTCAGTTAAGATAAAGGGTTACATCTTATTTTAGTGGACTTTAGATAGATACACAGAATTGTTTTAAATGAACTGCACAAAATAAAATAAAAAATTCACCTAGTAGCACTGTAAGCCAATTACAATTCTGATATATAAAGAACACCTGCTAAGCAAATCAGATCTTCTATTTAAGAATTACTACATAATTTTCAGGCCAAGTCTTGAAAAAGGGTAACCACTCTTCATTTATGTTTTCATTTGTCTGTATCACCCATAACAAATGTATCCAAGTATCTCACAAATGTTAAATTTTAACAATCATGGACCGCTCTGTTCTTAGAACTTCGAATTGGGTTTTATTCCTATTTTGTTACCAAAATAGCTCATGCACTGAAATGCTGGGGAAGATCAGTGGCTTAATTCAGAGTACATCTGCAGCGACCATGGTTTGGTTTTAAGCAAAATGTCTGTCCGTGGTGAATTAGGACGTAGCACAGGGCTGAGTTTTCAGGTGCAAGTGATGGTTGTGATCAGAGCACCACCAGCAGCCGCAGTTGCTAACTGGCCTAACTCCTGCCCTAACCACTTTCTCAGCTGGCAAAAGTAGGAACATTTATAGGACGTAAAAGCTGACAGAAAAATGAAGAGCGGTGATAAGTGTATGTATCACCAGTGGTGGCTGGCATCTGGGAGAAGAGCTATAGAGCCTTGGTTACTATCTTTGGAGAGCACTCGAATTCATTGGTTTGGAGTGTTGGGCTGGAGGAGAATTTAAAGCCGATATTCCTGGGCAGAGACACTGCCCAGAAGAGGGTTGTTCACGGGCAAAGCTGTTCTGAGGAAGGCTGCTGGGCTTTTAAATTTATTTAACGATCTCATGTCCTAGCTGGGGGTCTCTGTGTCCTGCACCCGCAGTGTTACTGCGCGGGGACAAGCCAGCGAGGGAAGAGAGCAGCCCAGGGAGAGTACAGTGCAGTATCACAGATGGAGCAACAGAGGGCGATGCATCACTAAGAAAGATGAGAAATGAAAAAACCCAACCAGTTTAACTTGGTGATTGATGGCACTTGTTCCTGGAGCGGGTACTGCAGGCCTGTGCTCGAGAACTGAAAGGGTGGCGTAAGGCTGTGCTCGCTCCGGTAGCTACTCGTTGCTCTGTTGAAAGACACTGCTTGAGGTTATTATTCTCTTAGAGTATTCTATACTCTTATTGTTAATAAAACAGGTTGACTTTTTTGCCCCTCCTAAGAACATTCTATCTTGTCCTCTACCACGGAAAGCTGTGAGAAAGCAGAATTCCCCTGGAGCTCTTGTCCTCACCTGGCAGCGCTTAGGGCTTGGGCAGCCCGCGGGTCCTCTGCAGCTCCCCTGCGTCTCTTCAGGCACCGGGAGAAACTCCAGCTGAGCTGAGTGTGAGCTCATCCTTACTCTGGGCACTTGTTTTTGTTCACGGCATTAGAGCCTATAACTTTAAAAACTTAGCCTATATTCAAAGGATCTTAAATTATTACAATGGTTTTCATTCGAATTTCAAATTTTGTTTTGCTAAAAAATAAGTCCTTCTCTTGAATTTTTCAGCATCTTAGTTTTTGTGTGTAGCCACAGAAAAGTCGTTCTGCAATGCTGCTTTAATGTAATTAGCCCATCTGACTTTCTCAGACTCTTTATTTTGTCCTCAGAAAAATCTCTTGCTTCTATGCATTTTTAATATGACTTCGATTTTTTCTTTTAATGGAAAATTAAAAAGCAAAAAATCCCACCTGATTTGGAACTTGAAGAGATAGAATTGGCAGCTGCCGTTTTCCAGATCAGGACAGAATGTTTTCCAGCTCCTGGACTTCTGAAAGCAACTGGGGACAGGGAAATGTGTCTGTACTTGCAAGAACAAAGAGCTGTAATATTCTTAACTTTCTGGATGCTGTTAGAAAAAACTAATATAAACCTTCATGCATCCAGAATGAGCTCTGCCTGGGTGGGACACAAGGTTCACACAAGGCGATGTTATTTCCCATGAACACATCTGCCCTGCGTCCTCCCAGTATCACTGAGAAGTGTTACGCAGCTGATTTGAAAACTTGGCCTGTGTAGAGTGTAACTGAATTAATCTCAGTATTGACCCAGGATCACATGAATTGTATTTTGGCCTTAATCACTGTTAGCTTCAAGCTAAAAAGACGGTTTTTCATCAATGTTCAAAATGTGGCTAGGTGCTAGTGCCATTGTAGTGTAGAGCACTGTGGAGCATACAGCACTGAAACCAAAGACGCTGTATACACAGCACTTCTTTTGAAACAATGAGTTTAATTATAGTGTATAATTATAGAGTATAATTAGAGTGCCAGATCCTGGCATGTTAATTTAAATATTGTTTATGAAGCAGTTCAAAAGGATCTGTAGCATTTTTGTGACCAAGTCTGTGGCAGCTTTCTTATGGAGTATACTTGACTGAAAGTTAAGTCAGTCCAAGGGAAGCACTCATCGGCTGTGTTTCTTTGATTCAGCTAATTGTTTTACTGATGCCTGGAGTGCTAACTAATTTCCTAGCCTCACAAATTAGGGACTGTTGCCTCTCATTCCAAAGCTATGGAGGGCCATGGCACTGCCCATAGGCTCTGTATTTCAGTACTTTCCCTAGTCCTTACCTGCACGTTGGATGAATGTTCAACACCAATCCAACTGCAAAGCCAGCGAGAGTGTCTCTAGGACTAACTTTGTGCCTTGGCTCAGAAAACATGTCCTAATTTGAGCAAGGGGACAATCCCATAGAAAGCCATCGGTGCTACAGGTTGCCCATGTAACACCAGTGTCGTCATCCTGTTGGTGATGTTCATAGGGAACGTGACCCAGGCTGTTCCTGCCCTTGTTAGGACAGGTGGCCTTTTTGTTTTATCAGAATGTCAGTACGAGAATTAATTTAGGAGGCGTTTTTTGGTTTGTGTACTGTCTTATGGGCAACACCGTACTCAGCAGTTAAGAAAAAACTGGCAGAGGCCAAAATACTGCTAGGGCCCAAGGACATCTTGGGTTAACTCCAACCTGATTTATAAATCAGTGTTACTGCAACTTCAGTACATCTTGTTCTTTGTTTTAAGACTTAGTGCCTTAATCATAAGGAATTTTTTTTTTTAGATATGAAAATTCATTAAATGATTATTTGCTAAATTATAAAATCAAAGTCATCTTAACAATGAATAAGAGTAACGAAGATGCCAAACCTAAAAATCCAGGTTTATGCTGTGTATTTTTTACTCAGTTCTTTTTACCTTGTAATTTCTATTCATGCCACTGGGTTCTTTTTTGTCTCTTCCAAATATTTGGGGTCAGATTGAATATTTCCTTTTTTCACCATCCGTTTCTCTATTTGTGAAAACTTTTCCAAGGGCTTATTCTTGACTGCTTTGATTTACGAACTACTGTTTCAGAGCTGTAATCTCCCATTTTATAGTCGCTGCTTTAACAGAGAGAGTCAGAAATACACTGAAACATATCCCCCAAATTATTGGACATCTTAGTAACTGTGGTTAACACTGGTGGATAGTTTTGATAGCTACGTACTGGTTTTGTGCCTTGTTACTAAATATATGGGTGGCCTATAGTATATGCACTATAAAATTATACTTCTTCCTTTTTTTTATTTATCATTTAATAAAACAGGGTATTTTATTTCCTGCCAAATAACAAAGAGAAAGCATATCTTTGTTTTCCCAGGGAAAAAAAAAAAAACCACAACACATTGGGACATTTAGTTAGGAGTTTTACCTGTTTGGCTAATTTAAATTACATGTGAGATCTCAAAGGTCTGTATGAAGAATGCGAAGGGGCAATTCAGATGTGAAACTGTGGCTGAGAAACTCTTTTTAGGGAACAGATTCAGGAATCCGCATATTCCTATTGGAGGAATTGTGTGTTACATTTTAATATGCCCTGAAAAATTATTTTGTAGAATAAAAATTTACCTCTTAATTCAGGTTTTGTATAGTCAGGATTACAAAAGAGACCGTGTGATATTTCTCTGCTGTAGCAGGTAGGTCTGTGTTATTGTTCCCTTGTCTCCCACGCTGTGACGGGGTTTGCTGCTCTGTGCCTGGGCTGTGCACGCTCCTGCACTGGCCTCCTGCAGTGTAACCTGGTAGGAGACACCAAACGTTTGGACACCAAGATAATACAGCTCTAGAAATGCCACAGACTACAAAACAGTGTTCTGCAATAAATGGGATTATTTCTGCATTAGCTCGTGTTCTCTGTAGCATCCTTTGCTTCACATAGGTTGTTTAGCTCTGCCACTGGTGTCACGTATCATGCTGTGCTCCTGCAAATGCTTATCTGCAGGCCTTCCAAGAAGTTACAGCAAGCTGCACCACACCGGAGCACGTGAATTTGAATTATAATATCTGTGACTCCTTTTTTTTCAGGAAATACAGCTTTATAAATGGAAAAAAAAAAAAAAAAAAAAAAAGGTGCATGGCTGTTCTCTATGCAGCGTTTGAATTTTGTTGTTTATGTATGCAGTCCATGGTCAATATAGCCAATGGAGTTACTGTTGTCATTGAAATACCATATTTTGTCAGATGTAATAGTGCCCAAGAATTGCTGAGACAAAAGCTGACATGGGGAAGGGCTAGCACTAGCATCAAGATTTCAGAGTTCAGTTAAAGCTTTGTTCCATTTTTGTATTGTGTGTGTAAGACAATACTATTGATACCACATAGAGCCTTACCTGGAAAGAGTTTATATTGTCTTTAAAGCAGTGGTCGGGCAGATGCTCAGGATGCAGGACTTACAGTCCAAGTCAACTAAATTTCTTCTAGTCAGAGCAGTTCAGTCTTACTTCTGCATCTGAACAAGCTCAGTCTTTGAAGTGTGATACTTGAATTATTGGGGAAAGCTGTGACAGAAGTTTGGAACTGAGCTAAAACGATCATTTTTACTGCATTTTCCTGCAGCAGTTTTGTTAGTGTAGTTGAGACTTCCATTCTCTGTTATTCCCTAGTCCTTAATAACATGCTAAATGTTCAGTAAAGCTGCCTGCCTCTCATTTATAGAATTGAATGCACTCTGGCATCAACATGTATTATGTGTGAGTGCCTTATGTGAAGTGTGGTTAAAAGGCAGAGTTCCTCCATGATCCTGCATAGAGGGAATGAATCCAACTGGCTCAATACTTTTAAATCACGTCTTTATAGGAGAGGAATTTCACCCTTTGGTTAGTTTATGGAAGAAAAACATTTTAACTTTAATCACTCCTACAGAATACTTTATTTAAGGGTAATGCAGTTTGCAGTGTGACAGTGCGTTTCTGCAGAGGAAAAGCAGCTCTGACAAATAACTCCTTTATACAGGTGGTGTAGGTTCTTTGTAGCCACAACTTGGTAACTTGTAGATATAAAAATACCACGCGAAAGCAAAACCCGAGTGAAAACAAATGGGACTTCAATGTGAATCTGAGTCAGCTGCACTGTCACATCCTTCTTGGTTGCTGAGAATGGCCAGGATTTGTCCTGCTAGCTTACTTCATTTCTTTGACCAGACCTTGTGTTAAATTACACACCTGGAACTACAGACAGAGAAATTTGCAACATATCTGCAGTAACCTGCCTTGACTACACAGTGAGTAAAACTCTACTGATCTTCCCATCACTCCAACTGCCCATCAGCCCTAAACACAGGAACTACCTTATTTCCTCAGGCAATTTATCTTCTTGGATAGGCCTGCTTCTATAAACTGCTCGGATTTTCTATGTTATTCTCAATTCTATGAAGTAAAAGGTTTTTTTAAAAAATTGTTGTTTTTTAAAGAAAAAACACCCCACATTTTTCCAAAATAGGGAATTGACATTTTCCATTTTCTGTTCTGTTTATCTCCTCATCTGTCTCTTTGGACACCTATTAATCATAGAATGCGTGCAGCTGGGAGGGATCTCTGGAGATCATCTTGTCTCACTCCTGTTGGACTAGACTCTAACATTAGGATCAGCTTTCCTTCTTCCCAGAAGTGAGCCACAGTGGCAAAACGCTTCAGTTCTAGCACAGCCCTTCCATTTCCATTATATTTCTTAATTTTTGTACTCAAAGGATAATTTACAGCTGTACAAACCTACAAAATACCAGGTACTAGCACAAACAGAGAGGCACTGCTTTTCTATCCAATAAGCAATTTCAGAGAGGGTCAGACTGCTCATCTGTTAGAGGCAGTGGGGTCTGTCCTCAATGGAGCTTTACCAAGGGTTACCCTAGTAAAGGCTTTCTGACCTATTTTCCTTTTACCCTAAGCACGTGGCAGCCCTGAGCCTGGGTCCAAGCATGTGGAAAGAGAAAACCTGCCTGTTGGGATCCTCACCAGTTTAGAAACACAGGAGCGATCACTGCAGCTAGGGCTGAGGGAGAGGCTGCTGACACATGCAGCAAGAGCAGGGCTCGGAAGGGGCTGCAAAGTAAAGCAAAGGCTGCTGTTAGAACTCTCCTCGAGAAGTCATTAGCTGGGGGTACTGGAGTGTCACATGGATAAATCTCATCACAGGGTTAGATGAGGTGCTCTTAGCCCAGGGCAGCAGGGTCTGTCTCCACCACATGGACTGCTGGCAACTCCATTTGTTAGAACTGTGCTGACAAGTATTTGGTTATATTTTAGGCTGAGAAAGTCTCATAATTCACTCAGGGAAGCCCTTCTATGACATTGCCACTCTGTGTTTTCTTGTGATGATGCTCTAAATGGTTCTAATAATCTGTTCAAGGGTTTGCAGCAAAACTCATGGAAATTCCTGTCATTAAGTCAGTTTCTCAGCATAGACAACACTGCTGCAGAGGTTAATTATGAACCTTTCTTTCTAATATAATTAGCTATTCATTAATTTTTGATAGGCTGAGGTTTAAAAAAGAAAAAAAGAGAGACCGTTATGAAGAAAACAAAATGGATTGGTTTCTTGTATCACAGGAAAATCTCAGTAACTCAGGAAATAACTCCTAGTGGAGAATTCTAGACCTCCTAACTTTTCTTTTTCCCCATTACTCTGCTCGTGACCTGCAATATAGATGTGAAACTGTTGACAAATGACTTCTCAGGAGGAACTGATCCAGAGTAACCGAGGAAAAGAGTTTTGTTTTTGAAGGTCTCATGTAATCACACAACTTTTACAGCCAGACAACAACAGAGGGCAATAGATCTCTATGAAACATCATGTCTTCAGCAAGGTTTCCATTTGATGACGCTGATGGCAATTTTGGCAGCTCTTTTCACTGCCTCACAGGGATCATTCAGGCACTGCTGAAATGTATCTATATGATCTAGGAGTGTCTTGCGGCCCTCTGGTAGCTCAGCCAGCATGGTGAGGGTTTTGATTGCACTCAGACGGGCTTTGATGGTTTCCTCAGCAACCAACTTCAGTAAAGGTGGAATGGCTTCAGCAGCTAGGGCTGAGAATCTCCCTGTAGAGAAATAAACTGTCTTTAAAATGTGTTATTACATATAATCAACATGCTTTTGAATTGCTACTTTCTATGCCCTGCCCAGCTACAGCTCTGAAGATACACTACGAAGAGGTAGGACAAGTTTTTCTTTTGAAGACCAAGGCTAGCTGCATCTGGTTATTTTTAAGAAAAAAAAAAATCTTTCTTAGTTAACTTCACTTCAACTGCCTTGCACGTTATTATTTAATTTGCAACAATTTATCTAAGAATATATGAGGTGCCGAATGACAGGATAGATTATTTTGGGGCAAGGGGGTTAGATACCCTTGAGAACATCCTCCAATCTTTATTTTTAAAGACTTCAGGCACTGAGATCCATTCCTGTGTTGTCTTTGGAAGCCAGGGGGATGGATGCAGAGGAGGACTGGAACACAACTGCTGTTATTAAGAGTCTTTTATGTCTAATTATTCATTCATCACACTGAAAATTTAGCAGTTAGTATTTTCAGTGTCATGTAAGCTACTTGGGAGAACTACAGATCTTATTAATATTCATTCCTCTCCCAGCTGTGAGAGAGAAACTGCCTCTAACCACAAAAAGAGTTTCCAGAAAGTAGTGCTCCTCTGTTGAGGACTGGCAACTCCGAGTAGTTTCAGGTATGGGGATCAATGTGGTCTGGGCTTGCACGGGAGCTGTTCCCCTTCTGGAGCAGCACTCCGGAGGGAAATGATGCAGGTGGGGTAGATAACGAACTTCCTGACCTATTTCAGGTGAATGAAATGTGAAATATACTGTCCTCCTAGACACTGTGGCTGAGGAACAGCAGTTGCTTGAGACAGATCTAAAGAAATATCCTAATCTTAAAGTTTCTTGAAGAGATTTCATACTATCAGAAACTGAGGGCTTGGGGGTGAGGCAGGGCAAAAGTTTTATTACTAAATTGCCTTAGAATTGGATTTCTGGAAGGTATCCCAACAGAACTGCCTCTGTTCCTCACCCTGAGGTTTAACAGTAGCAAACATGAGCGCTCCTGCAGCACTAGCTTGGACTTGCGGATCGGAATCCTCCAGCAAGCTCACCAGCGCGGGGGTGACCTCTTCACACAGCACGCCTTTCCCCTCTGCATGAGTACTGTGCAGGAAAGATGGTTAAGTTGCTTTCTTGAACTGTGTCTGCTAACCGTGCAGCCACCCGTGGCCTCTCCCCATGGCCGGACCCCCGCAGCCCTCCTTTGTTTCATGACAACAGTGCTGACACAGTCCTCCTCTCTGTTCTCTCCGGAGTCACGATGTTCTGGCTGTTGGACAGATGGCAAGCACCGCTACCCAGCCACAAAGAAAAGAAAGGGGATGTCTGTTTGTGCCTGGTGTCTATTAAATCTGCTTGCTGATACAATACTGATGATATCATATTAACCTACGTGTGTGGTCTTAACAAACTTTTAGGCTATTTTTAGGTGGTGTTTGGAGGTGGTTTTACTTTGTAGGATACACCGGAGATTGATGGGCAACGGCGTGTGTCAGGATGTAGGATTAAGTGTGCTGGTGGTCCTAATGGCAGTTTAGATCGAAACGTGGCTGTTGAACCCTGTACAGATTCAAAAACCTGCTAAATTAGGACTCTGCAATTAATTCTTCTCCTAGGTCATTTTCTCTCCCTCTCTCCAGCATCTTTAATGTGGGGAATATTTTAACATGGCCCAGCTACTGCAGGGACCTAGAAGGCAGCCGATGTCCACAGTTTAGCTGCATTTTTGCTTTCTTTCTATGACTCATTTTATCTACACTCTTTTCCCATAAAACCTTGCTTTGTTATAGGACATTAGGAAGTGTTTTGCATCAATTGGTATGTAAATTACATGATCTGCAGACTTTTTTTAAGCTAAACATCTGTTGAGCACTTTTATTATATTTTGTGATTGCAGGATGGTGAACTTGAGTTGTTCTTTTCATCCTGTGTCTGATACACAAATATAAAGATTACTTTTTCTGATCCATGCTGACAAATGTAGCAGCCTGTGTCAGAAAACTATTTCTGTCCTCAATCACACTGAAAGTTTCCCAGGACTTTTAATTTTTTGAGGGATTGCGTTTATCCAAAGCAATAAGGGAGCTTCTCCCTACCTCCATAGTGGTCAGAATCCTGTTTTCTCATGGTTGCTCATGCAAGAATTTTTTCTCAAGTGCTGTACCAGGAAAAAATCCTGATTTCACTGCTAATGCTGAATACAAATAGAAGAAGGAATGACATTTCCTCATCAGCTTCTGCTTTCTTGAGTGATTTATAGCAGTTATGGTTTTTAGAAGTCTTTTATTTATGTGTGCATTCGGGCTGATATTGCTTTATGTGTGAAATGTGGCAGCTTCACTGTGTAGTGGAACACAACTGTAAACTAATGACATTGATTCACTCATGAAATGTGTTTTCTTGGGCTAAGTATTATAGACAGGTTTCTTTACCCAATTTCTAATAGAACCCAAGCTGCTTTGCTTCTGATGGCCACTGATGAGTGTGTGAGCTTTTCCTTCAGGATAATAACAGCACCAGTTGCTAGAGCTTCAGAAGCCTCCACACGTAGCGAGTTGGAGAGCGTATCAAGGATTAGCTCCTGGATTTCATCCGGCTCAGTCTCCAGTTTGAATACGAGTAAGGGAATCAAACCAGCACGCAGTATGTCAACAGCCCCTGCAGGAGGAGACAGGAGGAACATGGGTGAGGTGTGAGTACGTTTACTATTTCTACTTTCACTTTGAATTTCTTCATAGGTTCAAAATACATATGGTAACTCAGTTCCTTAGACAGATGTGGGATTGAGAGATGGAAACTACTCCAACGCTGCTCTGTTCATAAATGACATTTTAGCATTGCTTCCTCGAGAAGCTTCCCCAACAGTCCTGTAAAGACATCAGCCCAAGTAATAACCACAGTGGCAATTGCTCTGATGTTCCCAGTTTCCCCCACTATAATATTGCTCTCAAAATTATTCCTGCTAAGGAAATATATATATATATATATATAAAGTCACCTTATATCCAGCCTTTCTAACTGTTCTCAACATGCTAAGAGGGACCAAGATGCGTGCCTTCAGAGTTAATACTTTGATTCGTCACTATGGTTTCTGTGGGGGAAGTCAAGGTTGTGGAAACTGTCAGATTCCTCACACATCTCTTTGTAGTAATTCTGTCACAGGGAAAATTTAAATTTTGAGCTTTCCAGCAGTCAGTACTCTTACACTAGCTCCTACAGGAAATAACATCGAAGGTAGAAAGATCGTCATTTGTCCTGCATGTGATGTCTTTGCTATGAGCAAGTGTCTGATTTGTACCACGTCTTACACTTTACTAAGTCAACACTGAAGCAGCAATGCCATGGGAAAGCAGAAAGCAGAACGTACTGTCCACGAGTAGCTATGTGAAAACAAAATTCTCCAGCTGTCTCGTTGCTAAGACTGATTCTTTGGTTGCTAAGAGAAATGTGACTCCTTTCAATGTGATTCATATATGGTTAGATAAGGAAGTTTTGTGGATAAGAGTCATCAAGGTATTTTCAGATGAATCTCCACAGTCAGGAATAAAAGGACAAGTGGGAATGAGATTTTAATGGCCCTTGGTAGTGCATGGAAGAAATCCCTCAACTTGACAATCGGGTGCAAAACATGATTCTAATCTAGAGGTTATTCTGTTGCACATATTTCTGAGGTTTTTCTGACATTGAACAACTTCTTATGTTACTAACATATTAGGATCCACTTTACTAATGCAAATGCAAAGAAACACCTAGAGGTGATATTATTACAGCATTTACTACCCGTGCTACACTTGAAGGTCAGTGGCTGAGAGGATTCAAATAAATAATAAGGAAAACCAGATTCAGTCAATTCACTCTTGAAGGCTAACAACATTTTAAAAACAAGGATTTCTCCTTGTGCCAGAAAGTCAAAGCAGGAAAGGAAAGTGAAAAAATGTTATCTTTGAAGCTGTGGCTGCGTGTATTGCTAGATTGGGGAGGATGGCATTTGCATAGTAAAAAACCCCACAACCTGACATTTATGTGCCCTGCAGGAATGAAGCAAAGAAAATTCTGAAGGCTCATCTCCAGCCCGTTCATACTGTCCCCACAGAAGGATGTGATAAAGGAAACCTCCACTATTGGTTTGGCAAAATGACTCTCTCAAAGAGAAGGAAGCAAAGCTTGCACAGCTGACTCCAGCACTCACATTAACTCCCTTGACAAGATTCCAGGTGTTTGGATTGTAGGTTCTAGGTACAGCAGGGTTATGAGTGGGTTAGACAACAGTGGGGCTATGGGTGGGAATACCCCATGCCTTATGGAGTCCCAGGCAGTAGGGAACCCACTAGTGAACTGCTTCCATGGAAGTAGCTGAAAGCAGGCTCAGATGACTATAAATCACATCCAGAATTTGTTTAGCCACGCTTTCCAATGGTCTTTTGAAATAGCCTATGAAAGATAAGATTTTTCAAAGTCAACTTTAAAAACTCCCTCTGAAATTTTTCATGAAAAGAAACTGTATGGTCTGTGTGCATGAAATTGGGATGCCCAGCCTGTTCACACGGTCACCATGTACACTGCTAAATTCTGGGGTGCTCTGGAAATTGGTATAAAGTCAAAATTTGGGAGGTACAGTTTCAAAGGAAGGTTAATGAATTGGGAGTGATAGACTTAGAAGCTGACATTCCCTGAAGCAAGCACCTGTTTATTGTACGGTTGCTTTACCAGATGATCTGTGATACTTTTGAACCAAACCCAGATCTGGACTACCTGACCTTAAAGTAATTTCATTCTTTCTAGATAAGATAACACACCGAATGTAAATAAGAGTAGCAAAGAACTGAGGTTTAAACTCCATGTTTCTCCAGAGCCTTTGTGTAGCTTTAATTCACACTGATAACAATCTTCCTTGGCATGGTGTCACACCATAAACATTTTGTTGTACCATTTCATAAGTAAATGCTTGTTGTTGAACTAGTCAGCGTTCTGGCTTGACCCAAGAGAAGCCATCCGTTGCTTTGATTCAACTTTCCATCTTTCTGTAACTACTATTGCTGTAGCATTCTGTCTACCTTGCTCATACTGGTAGATACACTTTTTAATTTCCCAGACAGGTTTCCATTACTATTTTTTGCACTTGCTTTCAAATATGTAATAGCCATTTTTTAACCCATCATCTTAACTTCCATTTATAGTTTCCCAAAATTTCCTCTTTTTCGGGACTTCCTTGATAACTTATTTCAATTCTCTTGATCACTCTATCATCATATTGCTAGTATGTAGTATCAGCATTCAGGTTTCACTTCTTTGTGTCTGTGTCTTTCACTTCTAATCTATTCAATTGTGCATTCAACTAGACAGGACTGCTTTCGTTGGCCCTTGAGTTTATTCCTTCCCATTAACATTTATTGACTTTCTTTACCTCGGTTATCCCTCATTCATTGCATTTGCACTTCATGTCTTCTTTTGGTGCTAGCCTATGCTATTGCACTGCAGTCCTGAGTGCAGAACATACAACAAAGCCGTTTTATGTCCTTCTGTTTCAATAAGCTGGCAAGATAATGTACAGAGAGTTGTTTAGGATAGCTTTTATTTTGTGCAGTCATTTAGTAGTATGTATTCTGTGGTCAGAAATCCCCATGTAACTAGTGGGTGCTTATTTTGTATGAATGCTCGGGCTGTTTTAATTTATTTAAAATACATTTTATTTTACCAGGCCAGGTCTCTGTATCAAAAGCTTTCTTGTCTACTGTTTTTGTCAAGTTGTCCTATCTGAAGTGCTACCATGCTACTAAAAAGGAGCTTCCCAGATATAAATATAGAAACAAAGATGAATTGTTTGACCTTGTCAAAAGTCTCAATGCGGTGAAGAGAAATAGGGTGGAGAGGAAAGGCCATCAACGACAACAAAAAGAGACTACCTAACACTGAGACTGAAATTTCCAGGTGGAAATTCGTCATGGTTTTCCCAAGGGAACCAAAGGGTGAAAGGTCTAGGGAGGTAAAACGGAAAAGGGAGGAGACAAAAATCAGTTGAAAGTTGTTTGAGAGTTACTTGTAAATTAGAGCAGACTCAGATCCTTGCATCTTACTGAGCAAGCAATAGGAGAGGAAGGTAAGCTGGTGTTTCTAGTAGTCCTATACTGAAAAATGCGGTGGCATCCTCAGGATCTTGACACCTCACTAAAATACTGCCCTTTAGAGGTGATTTATCTATTGCAGAGTGTTCTAGATACCCTGGGCATAGCGAAGCAGCAGGGACAAACGTTTTCAAAATGCAGATCGTTGCATTTGCAGCTGCATAGTTGACATCACTATTGATCTGTTTTTCTGAGACCTTGTAATCTTCCCTTGGGCTGCTTTTTATCTGAGCACTCATCTCTTCCTTCTCATAACCCTCTGGCCACTCTCATCCTCCCTTTCCTGACTCTTTTTTTTTCAAATAGGCCCAAAGAGGAGTTGCCATTTATTCTGTTCTCTCAGTATGGCTGCAGGGCATGTAAACAAATTAAATTTTGCAGAAGACAAAGGAGTCATTTATAGTGCATAACAGTGGTGTTTTAGTTTGGTTTTCAATTACATAAATCAATTAAATCACATTACAAATCCTTTTTCTTACAATTGTCAGTTTTCAATTCAAAGCCATTTAAATGTTTGTTTTAGTAAGAAGCACGTGCCTCATGCATGGCCGCAAAGTGACCTACAGTGTAGCATAACATAGTAAAATAATATGTAAACACAGATTCTATATAATACGAATGTTTTGCTGACACCTCAGATGTCTCTCTGCGATGTTCACACAACTATTTGAAATGCTTAGTAACAACATTTCTACTTAGGAAAGGGCACACAAGGAAAAGAAAAGCAGAGCCAGACACAATCGGAAGGAAAAATACTGCCTGGCATCATGGTGTGCTGTCAACACATCCAGGGCAGGGAGGCTGTGAAACCCCAGGGTGCGAGTAGCCGAATGATCCTGACAAAATTTCTAGACCTAGCAGCCTTCTTGCTAGCACTGCAATAGTTTAGCACCACTTTAGAGGTAACAAAGTGTTTATTAAACTAGTAAGTGCTAGCATATATCGTATACATCTAAAAATGTAGTGCTTGTATAATGTTCCTTTTATGAGTGACAAGATGACCGCAGAAGATTCTTCCCTGGCACACCTTCCTCAATAACTCCTTGATCACTACTGCTTAAACTGAGAAAAAAATTTTATTCTTTAGACTCTCTGAGAAGATTTCTGAGTCACCAGTCACAAGAGCATAGTTTGAGAAGCCTGTGCTAGCTAATTTAACATTAAGATTCAGCATTTTAAGTCTCAGTGCTTCCAGCATTAAGGCTGTGTCAGGGAGTAGATTAAATATAATACTGGGCTGAAATTTCTTTCTGGTAAGTTTGGAGCAGGAGGAAAACCACGTTAAATGAAATAGAACTCACCTGCCTACACTCCATCAGCTTTATCAAGTCTTTTAACTGAAGAGGAAAATTCTGTCGACATCTTTGAAAGTCCGAAAAATTTTCTTTTCTTTGCAACAGTAATTCTCTGTCCTTCAATGATATTTTAACAGGAACAAATAGTAGTGTCCCAAAGGATGTCTATGCCTAGAGACACAGTATCTCTTAGCTTGAAGGACTGAGGAGTGTAAAGTCCCCGTTTAAATGAACTGAAGAG